ATGCATTATACATGTATTAAAGAGATGTTTGAAAATATCCGATTTGAGTTGTTTTATGTTTGAAATGGATGGCGATAAATTATTTAAGAGCATGTGAGAAACATGAGCGAGAGATGCAAGGCAGTTTGTAATTATGGAAAAGGAAAACAGAGAATCGGGTTCGGGTTTTAACACTCCTGACCGAAATAGGCATGAAATTCAATGTAAGTAGCATAAATAAATTTCCAAACATGTCATTCTAGATGGGAAACACAGGGAAGAAACGTGTATTTCTTTTTACTAAGCTGAAAGTCGCTATTTCTTGGGATTTTGTTATTCTAGAAAAAAAAAATCAAATTTAAAATGAAATCATGATTCATTCTATTAATATTAAATCCGAATAAAATTGAAATAAATTTAATAAAAATAAATAAATTTAAATAAATTCTAAAGAAAGCAGGAGTACTTGGTATTTAAATGTCGTAATAGAGCAGGAAAATCGAATGATATTAACAAAAATTGCAAAAATAGCCAATACGGGCTTTAATTAATTTTTATGCTCAGCAATACAAAATTTCAGACAGAAAAAAAAAATGCAGATTTTGCCGATTTCCCCTAGAATTTCATTATATTTTAGAGACTCACCTTAAAACTCTCAGGACACTTTCTTTAAGGTCTTTTCTTGCTTTTACTCCGAATCTTATGTCGATTTATTGTGTCGTTTGACTTGTAGACATTTTCTCTATACTGCTGTTGATTTTTTTTTTAAGAAAGGAGGGGGGATATAAGCATTTGTTAGAGTAAGAGTTGCAAATACCTCAACGACATTAAACTTGATTGTGACCTTTGGATCAATAGGGGGTCATTTATCAAGGTCAAGGTCATCCAAAAGAGAGAGAGAGAGAGAGAGAGAGAGAGAGAGAGAGAGAGAATAAACTTGAGATTAACACTTGAAGCTGAATCTAGATAAAGGTAATGAATATTTCTTTATTACTTTTTGAGTAAGGGGTCAAATATCAAGGTCAAAGGTCAAGGTCATTTGGATTTTAAGCTTAAATCGACTCTAGTTTTCCAATGACCTTGACCTACTCTTCAAGGTCATAGGTCAAAACATCTCATTCACTTGTGAGTCATGGACATTTTCTCTACACCACTCCGTTCAAAGCGAGGTAACTCCAATTTATCTAAGCTATCTAAATTGCGTAGAAATTGATTTGGTAGGGAAAAATCGCTATTTCCTAGATTCATTCAATTAATACTCAATGTAAATAAAATTGAAATAAACTTTACATACAAAGAAGATCAAGAATTCTTGGTATTAAAATTTCGTATTTGAGCAGGAGAATCGAATGTTATTGACAAAACGTGAAGAAATACCCAATGCAAGCTTTAATTAATTTTCATGCATCAGCACCTAAATTTCAGACAGAAAAAAATATAGTTGTTCATTATATACTTCAGAGACTCACTGTTAAACACTCAGGACGCTTTCTTTGATGTGTCTTGTACTGCAATCCTTAAATTTCATGTCGATCTGTGGCGTCGTTAGAACTGTAGAAAATTTTTCTAGGTTCCTATTGATTTACAAAAAAAAAAAAGGGTATATAAGCATTTGTTAAAGAGTGAGATGTAAACATTCCCACGGACTCAAGCTTGATTGTGACCTTTGGGTCAATGGGGTCAAAGGTCAAGGTCATTTATCGAGGTCAAAGGTCAAGGTCATTCAAAAACCTTTTAAACTCGACTTTAACACTTGAAGCTGTATCAAGCTAAATATAAAATAATAACTCTTTGGTAAGGGTCAAGGTCAAAGGTCAAGGTCAAACATCAAACTCAAAGGTCAAGGTTATGTGGCATATATAAGCAATTTAAATACTTTTCCAATGACCTTGACTTTTTGACCTTTGGTGTTGTTTTATTTCTTATAATTGGAAATTTTCGTTGTTTTTATTTTTTTTAATTTATTTTTGGTGGAGCTGACATATTTCAAAACTACTAAATAGATGCAATAAAGTAATGAAAAAAAAAATGGAAAGAAAAACGTTGGAATTTTCGATTTTTCAAATCACATCCTGTAACGACCGGAAGTGACGGCGGAGACATTTATCCCTATATCTGTTGTTCACTCTTCAAGGTTTATTATTCATATAAGTTAAGTTTCTTGATGTGTTACCATAACCTAGATCTGGCTATGTTAACTACTCAGTTGGAGGATAGGAAATCATGAGACCGGAAATCAATTTTTAATAGATATTTCTAGTTACTCTATACATTTGCACTCTGAATTACATGTTCTAAAATCATTTCAAATACTCTTTCTATAAAAGATATTTATGGGATAGTATGATACTCAATTTATGCAGTTTTTCTCTCATAACCGGAAGTTGCCGTTTTTGTTGCTGGTGGGACGCACATATATCAGAACAACCAATAAGATGCAATAATGTGATGCCGAGAAGTATTCCAAAAACAAAAGCTGAAATTTCTGATTTCTTTTATCACTTCCTGTGACGACCGGAAATGACGGCGAACGATCTTAACCCTTATGGGTTTCCTTACTTATCAAGGTCTATTACTCATTCAAGTTTGGCGTCTCCATCTCTTACCGTTTCCGAGATCTCTTTGTGATAACTTCTCATATTGAGGACAGAAAATCACGCGACCGGAAGTGAATTTTACAAAGATATTTGAGGTTACTGTAGACATAAGCAGTCTATATAACATATCTAAAAATCACTACAAATACTTTATGTATAAAAAATATTTATGGGAAAAAAAAATACACAAATTATGTAGTTTTTCTCTTATAACCGGAAGTTGTCGTTTTAGTTTCCAATGGGACTGATATATTTCAAAAATACAAATAAGATGTTCTAATGTGATGCAAAAAATGTTTCCCGCAAGAAAAGTTAAAAATTTTGATTTTTGGATCACTTCCTGTGACGACCGGAAGTGACGGCGGACGATCTTATCTCAACTGAATTTGCCTACTTATCAGGATCTACCACTTATATAAATCTGGTGCCTTAATCTCTTATCGTTTACGAGATCTAGCTATGATAACTTCTCATTTTGAGGACAGAAAATCACGCGACCGGAAGTGAATTTTACAAAGATATTTGACGTTACTGTAGACATCTGAAGTCTGAATAACATATCCAAAAATCATTTCAAATACTTTACGTATAAAAAATATTTATGGGAGAGAAAAATACTGAAAATATGCAGTTTTTTTCTTATAACCGGAAGTTGTCGTTTTTGTTTCCGGTGGGACTTATATATTTCGAAACTACAAACAAGATGCTTTAATGTGATGCAAAAAAAGTTTCATAAAAGAAAAGTTGAAATTTTCGATTTCTTTGATCACTTCCTGTGACGACCGGAAGTGACAGCAGACACCTTACCCCAATTGGTTTTGCCTACTTATCAAGATCTATTACTCATATAAGTTTGGTGTCTTAATCTCTTACCGTTTCTGAGATATGACTCGGACAAAACTTTTTTGAAAAAAGCGGAAATCGGACATATCTGACGACCGGAAGTGAATTTTGAAAAAGTGTAAACTGCATCTGAAAGATATTTTTACTCTCCATCATCCCTGAAAATTTCATGAGAATCCGTCCAGTCATCTCTGAGAAATCGTCAAAACAAAAAGGAAAAAAAATAATAATAAAAATAATAATAATAAAAAGAAAAAACAGTAGAATCACTATAAGGTCTTCCGTCTGAAACGGAAGACCTTAAAAAGAAAAAACAGTAGAATCACTATAAGGTCTTCCGTCTGAAACGGAAGACCTTAATAATAATTAGAAATCACCACCTTTGAGTTGAAATAAAAAAAAATACAATCTGCATTTCATCATAATCCATTAAATCATTGTCAAATAAATGAATGCATAAAACTTTTGTAAAATTACCACAGTGATCTCAAGTTGTTTTAAAATTATAATTCTTTAAAATACTTTATAATATATAGGTTGAAGCTTTGAAAATATCTAATTTGAAATATTGCAGTAATCAAACAAAATAATTTTTTCGTCTTGTCAAAAAACGTTTCGCATTTTGAAACAATCGTATCAGGTTTTGCGTTTATCCTATCGTGAAGATCGTTTATCAGGTTTATCGTGTTTTGCGTGTATCGTGTTCTGCGTTTATCGTGTTTTGCGTTTATCCTATCGTGCGTGTATCCTGTCGTATCGTGCGTGTATCCTGTAAAGAATAACGATGCGGGTACTGTAATTAGGTGAAAGAGATTTAAAAGAATATATTTTTCTTTCCTCGTCATCATTGTGCAACTTTAAATAGAAATGGTAAATTGTGTTCGAAAACGAGCAGGGGTTATATTTTTGGCGGAATGGAGGCGTATGAAAACATTTTCTTTTCTGCCTCTCAAATTTATTATAGAACAGCGAATTTAGTTATAAGTTTTACAGAATCAAAGATTTGAAGAATTTTTCAAATATTTGCTAAATTAATATAAGGGAATAAAGTTTTAAAATGTATCAAATAAATATGATTTTTCAAACAAACTACAGCTATGTTGACTTTTAAATGCTTCCAATTTGAGTACAGATGTGAGCCAAAAATCCATAGAAAGTGTTTTTACTCTCTAAGTAAACGGTCAAAACGTTTGTTTTTGTATCATTTTGTATCTCTATATGACTTCTTTACCATATGTGAAAATAAGAAAAAATTGAATATAGGGCCCATATAAAAATAACATATATCCTAAAAAAAAGTTCAGAAAAACAGAGAAAATTCGGATTAACCAAAATACATTTCTTTTTAAACTATTTATGTCAATTTGGTAATGTCAATTTATAGACCCTATATAATTATATCTTTTTGTGCAAAAAGAAGAACATTTGATTTTTTTTATATAGAAGACCGTATCGCATGATTGGATGCAGTTAGTTTTTTCTTAATGTCCAGGGAAAAGGTAATGACCCTGACCTGACCTTGACTCTTAACCATTCCTATCAATAACTAAGGCATACTAATAATTGTTCTGTTTATGATAGACCGATGCCAGGCAAATCCATGCAATGATACTCAAGTTTGTCAGACGTCTGGATCCGATGTTTGTATTCCCAGTAAGTTTTTAAATAAAATTAAAATAAAACAGTATCATACCAATTATCTACGTTCATGTCTATGATGAAGAAGAGTGTCGCTTTTAAAATGGTTTATTTAATAACCCATGGATCAGGGGTTTAGGGGTAACATAGTCTGGAAATAGTCTGAAAATAAAAAATACTTTGAAATCTGCTCTTTAGCATTACCAACCATTCGTGATGAAGTAAGATTTATAACAAAATCTCCGCTAAGCGTATAGTTATTATAAGCAATGGTGTCTCTTTCAAAATTGGGAATTTCATGGCCTCCTATTTAAACACAAACCAAATTCAATTCTTCGAAAGTTGTTATATGGTATTCAGGTCATCTATAAAGCTGATAAGGCTCTTGGACATCTTGTTTTATATTTTTATAGATCCTTAACAGTGTTTTATACTCAGGTGACCATTAAAGCCCTTTAGCTTTTCACTTGTTTGGTTAAAAGATACATGTAGGGTGTTCATGAAATTTGATATTTTTATTGATCGTGTCATTTGATAAGCCATTTATCTTTAATCAAAATTGTAAAATTCATGCAAGAATTGTTACCTTGGTCGATAATATAAAATTATGGACTTCAGTGTAGGTCGATATGTTGTTATAAGGACTCAAAACAATTGATATTGACTGAAGACACAGAAAGTGATAGCGACCGAGTCTGCGAGGTCTTTATCTTTTCTGTGTCTGATATCATAAAAGGAGGAATTTCACGTGACGTCCATTCATGATCAGCCAATGAAAATTACGAAAATAATCTTCTTACATGATATTTTATTATGTCGCCCTAAGTAAAATAACTTCAAAGTAACTGAAAGGGACGTCGGTATCATAATTGATCCATATATAATTAGTTGGCATAGTTATATAACTTTAATTCAGAGATGGCTTCTGTAATTTTTTTTAAAACTTCACAGTAATAAGACCTCAGAGTGCACTTTTGCATGGAACATTTAAAATGACGCTTTTCATTTTCCACTTATTCTTGAACTGGTCGACACGACAAAATATTCATCGGAGAGGAAAAATCATACATATTTAATGCAATGTGTATATATGCTATAATTATAGCATAGAAGATGTAAAAAATGTTTTTAAAAACTTTATTACATTAAAGTGATTATGCAAAATAAAGACATCTGTTCCTATTTACAATATTCAATAATAATTGAGGAATATCAATTTGCATATTTAACGACCTCCAAAATGGTATTTAACGTAGAAACTACGTCGTCTGAAATCATATCTGTGTTTCGCCTGTGCGAATCCATGATCATATTCTAATTAATTTAATGTTAAATTTTCCTGTTCTTTATCAAACATTTCACTTTTAGTTTATGTTAACAGTTAAACAAAACATAATTCCTTTTATTTTTTAGATCCTTGTGCATCAGAGCCTTGCCAAAATATGGGAAGCTGTCACTCATTCGATAACAACACCAGATATAACTGTTCCTGTAGGAACGGATTCAGTGGAAATCTTTGTGAAAAAAGTATTCTGCGCTTTCATACTAAAATCAAGCAAATAATTTATAATTAAAGATGAATGATGTTTATCTGAAAAGAAACAGAGATCAATAACTTTAACTATTTTCCGAAAAAGGGATACTTAATTTCTTTAGTTCAACTATAGATTTAAAGTCACCATACCTATTGCTATCCGTTTTCGTCCTTCGTCATGCACCCTGCTTCTTGTGTTAACATAAGCATCTATGGGTGCAGGAAAACAAAAACTGTGTATCCCATGCTCCCTATTTCCCTGGGGCTTATACGTGGGACCAAAACCACTAAATAAATGCAATCTTTAAAGATTTTCTTCTTTACTCCTGGACATTAAAAAGTGAAATTGTTCATTGTTATGTTGAATAAGACTGCCTCTTCCAAAATTGTGAATTTCAAGGGCCCAGGGTAAGAGGTTTTGATGTTAAGGCGGGCCTCTTTTGATTATATAATGACAATTCATTAATTATTTGAAATTTTTTTCTTTGCTTCTGGATATTCAATGAACTAGATAAGTACATAGTTGTTTTAATAAGGCTGCCTCTTCCAAAATAGTGAATCTCATGACCCCAGGGTAAGAGGTTCTGGTGTTAAGGCGGGCTTGATTGAATATATAATGACGATTCATTAATACTTTGAAATCTTCCCCTTTCATTCTGGGCATTTAATAAACTATTTAAGTACATAATTGTGTTGAGAAAGGCTGCCTCTACCAAAATTGTGATTTTCTTGGGCCCGGGGTCGGTTCTATTGATTATATAATGACAATTCATAAATTTTTCCTCCTCTACTTCTGGGCATATAATAAACTTATCAAGTACATAGTTATGTTGAATAAGGCTGCCTTATCAAAAATTGTGATTGCATCGCCCAAGGATCAGGTGTTCTGATGTTAGAGAGGGTCTCTGTTGATTATGTAGTGCAAATGTATGAATTCTTTAATTTGAAAATCTTATTCTCTACTCTCTGCTCTATACTCCTGGGTATTAAACAAACAAATAATATGTACATACATAGTTATACTGAGTAAAGGTCCCTCTTCAACATTTGTGACTCTCACAAGGATCGTTCCTCTTCTTCGAAAATTGTGATTTTCACGGATCCAGTGTAAGGGTCTCTGGTGTTAGGACGGGGCTCTATTGATTACATTGCGGAAATGCATAAATTGTTTTCACTGCTTGAAAAAACACCTTTACAAAACTTTACTTGCAAAGTAAATTTCATTAAAGGTGCTCCAAAAAGCAAGGTCATCTTTGTATTAACTTTACAAAAAGTAAAGGTGTAAAGGTAACCTTTACTTACACGAAAAGATAATTAAATATAACCTTTCACCTTTAATGTCATATTAAAGTTCATTAGATATACATATTTTATTAAAACCTTATTTAAATGCTGATTATTGTTTAATACACTTATACTTTGGATTTTCATTGTTAGTTTAAAGAATCGATCTAGTCGATACCCAGATTTTTAAGACAAATGTCAAAGATATTTTTTAATTATCTCGTTTCCACTTCCAGTTGAAATTAGTATTAGAAATGGTCATCTACAGAATCAAACAAATTTAAATGTTTTTCAACTTGAAATAATGCTGAGGGACAATCAAAAATGTAAATCAGAATACAGGTACAACAAAACTTAAATTCCTAATGATTTGTATAACTTTTGTTATCTGATTTGCTTACGTCAGATAGAGGGAGAACTCATTTCTAATTGCTTTTGATAAAGAAATACTGGAAGCTTTTCTGTTTTAACTTCTTTTTTATAAATGTTGACCATAAACTGTTACAAACAATACAAGATCACATGTATCATTTACTAAAACAGGCAAGAAAAAGACAAAGATTGAAAATTACAAAGTTTGATTATTTTTTTTTTATTCAGATTTTACATAAACATTCAAGGGCAAGTTTCCTCAGAGACCCTCTTAGTATATTCTCGACTCATCATTATTTGACAGACTACACCTCAAATAAAACAACACCTATGCTGTAAGCCAGGTTAGCTTAGTTGGAGCAGATGGCATTTTTTTTTTATAACAATACATAAATATTGAGCAAACATTACATTGAATTTGAAACAATAAAGCACTGCAATGTATTTGTAAAATATTTTAAATGTAATAAATTATACCCCTATCACAGACATTAAAAACCGCCCAGGAAAAAACCATAGATGGTTAACTATGGAAAACCTGTGTCCGTCGCTATGTAAATAATGTCTCAAGGGAGAATGCAGGACGTACATTCGTTGCAGTACTTAAAAATGCATGAACACCCTATAATATTTGCATGTATAAAAAAAATCGAAATTAAAATACATTTCAACAGTTTTGTTATTTCCATTTCCAGTATATTTATACAAATATGATATATATTATATATATAAAGCAAAAAAAAAAAAAAAAAAAAAAAACACGTGTTTTATTGAAGAGCACTGGCTTAGAATGATTCCAACACCTTACTGAATACTCCTTTCTCATTGGCCTTCCTTTGGCCACGCCCACATATACTGGCAAAACCATTAATATGTGTTCCTACCATACAATGTGCTCCCACTATACTACGAAGCGCGGAAAAAAAAACTATTATGCGCACCAGGATTGCCTACAACTCTCTGGATTGGATGGCATAGATCTTTAATATGTAAATTGATATTAATAATGATACAGTACGAGGGGTGTTAGAAAAGTTCGCGGACAAGTTCTATTGTGAGCGCGCTATTTCCTCGAAACCGGTCAAACTTTCCATATATAATCTTGAGCTTTTTTCCAATAAATATACAAGAATTTGGTGCTCTCTGGTGATTATTGAAAAATATACGGCATTTTTATTTCGATAAATCTTGCTTCACGGAGCATGCTACATTTTGGCACGTTTACATCACAAAGACTATTTATTAAAATAAAAAATTGCACAATTGTAGTGCCAAGAGATTTGTGATATTTTACCTGCCGCTCAAGTATGCAGGAAGCGTCACTGGAAGAAATTTTGAAGTAAATTGGAGGGTATATGGCTGTTGTATAGCCGTTTATAAATGATCAACGCGTAAAAACACAGCCAAAAATCGGAACGTCATTGAGCTTCATGGAGCACTGCACTACTTAAAAATTATGTGTGCAGACAGGAAAATGTCTAAAATGAGATTAAAATGTTCAAGATGCTGCCGGGAATATCCTACACATACAAAGAACAAGTTCTCAAATGGTTGTAGCTTCATAAGAATGGAAGGAGTAACATTTTGAGTGATTAACTACATCGATATTCAAGACCCACCTATCGCATGGACCTTGCGTTGCGCCTTTATTGTTTTGCATACTTTCCATATTTGATCAATTGACTGCATAGACTTTTTTTATTTTTTAACATCGCAGTAATGTCCAAAACGGTACAAAAGACATTACAGTTGAAAAGTAATATGTTTAGATATAGATATTCAATTTTAAAGTAGAAAATAGATAAGAAAAATATGAAAAAATGAAAGATTTATAGAACTGCGACAAAGCTTAAAGGGCTGAAATCTAGTTGTCACGTCGCCTTACGTCAAGTGATTGCTCCGTGAATCCCATAACCCTATAGCAAAAATAGTTGTAAAATTTTAAGATTTTATTATATGGACCTGATTTTTTATATACCAATAAACAAAATGTGTAAATTCATTCAGACATAGGTCATACTTCACAGTACACAATAGATTTTCTATAATTAAATGTGTCCGCGAACTTTTCTAACAACCCTCGTAATTAATAATATAACAATGGAAAAAAAATGGCATATTGACAATTCTCAATTTCCAAACAAAAATGATCTTAAAAAATTCTGTATTATGGCTTCTCATCATATGATGAGTCAGAAATCATACAGCACAAATATCCAGTTATAACCTTGAATATAAACAATATATTGAGCTATCTTTGACTTTTGTTTTCTTTCAAATATTCAAATACATGTAAGGCAAAATTATAAGAAAAAAATATAGATGATAGGTATATAAATTTCACATTTCTGCTTATGAAATGGAGGTCCCATTTCACTTTAAAATATAATATCAGTACAATATTATTTATTCGTTATGGTGCATGTACATATACAAAATAAACTTTGCAGTTTAAATTGAATTGAAAATGTGGGGAAAAAAGTACATAAAAGGCTATCTGATGTGCGCTTATATACAGGCTAATAACATCTTGACATCTTCAACTTGTAATGCAAAATGATGCAATTTACATATTCACAAACACAAAAATGCTGAAAAATCTATTAGAATATATTTGAAGATGCAGTTTGCAAAATGTATGAGAACATGTATGAGTCCAGCTTCACTCAGTGAGCCTGTCTGAGCTTGACTTAGTTTAGATTTTTATGTCTGTGGCAGATGCATGTATATTTACATATGTGTCCAGCTTCACACATTTTCATGTATGTGCTCGACTTCACACACCTTGGAAAATATGTAATAGGTTGTGGCAGATGCATGTGTTTTTGTGTATGTGTCCAGCTTCACACATTTTCATGTATGTGCTCGACTTCACACACCTTGGAAAATATGTAATAGGTTGTGGCAGATGCATGTGTTTTTGTGTATGTGTCCAGCTTCACATATTTTCATGTATGTGCTCGACTTCACACACCTTGGAAAATATGTAATAGGTTGTGCAGATGCATGTGTATTTGCATATGTGTCCGCTTCACATATTTTCATGTTTGTGCTCGACGTACACGTCATCAATGGAAAATATGTAACTATGGTGGTGTAAAAAATTTACAAGTGTATGATGCACACAGAGAAAAAAGTTCTGTGTGTTTTGTTCTGCGAAAGTGATCGTAAAAATCTACTACAATTATGTCTCTTGAGAAATTGACAATCATAATAAGTAACATATTCATTTTACATAACTGTACTGAAAATTACACATCCAGTTTAAATTACTGTACTGAAATTTAAATTTGCGCAAAAACTCTCTGGCTGAATAACATTCAAAATCATGAATGCTTGCATGTTCATCTATAAATCTCCAAGATATTTCCTAGTTAGTTTGTAGCGCAGCACCGAGCGGTCTTACAACACATTTCATAATGTCAGTTTGCATGAATAAATTAATTTATCCTTGTTCCTCATATCTTGAAAATAGATGCCGAAATTCTAGTCTACGGTTTATTTACACGGCACATCACAAATAGAAACATTCAGGAAAAATAATTCACAAAAAATAAAATCCAAGTAAAACAATCACATGTACATATAAATCCAAGAAATATTAGGTAATAGTCCAAGTAAGTGAGTAACTTTATCTATCTCTAACAGTTCTATCTACTAAGTCTTCTATATTTCCATCTTCCTATCTTATTCTAAAATTCTGTCGCACTATACATGTTTATATATATATATATATATATATATATACTCAAGATCCGCTCCTGACGATCAGGAGCACATTACAAAATCCTTAAGATCAGGAGTCAATACACAGGTCATAACAATCAGCAGGGGGTTAGATAAGAGGGGGCGCTTAATATACAGATAAGATTTATAGCATAAGTGTAGATGATAATGTGTGAACAATTACGTAATGAAGAGTGATTTACAGCATAAGATTTTCTAAATCTTTACAAGTTTACATATTCTTGATCATATCATTGATAAGTGTATATATTCTTGATCATGACATCTGCATTTGATTCCCCTCTCTGACATCTTTTCTTGTTCACCAATTAGTTCAACAGTCATCTAGGTACTCAGGTGTTGTACAAGTCCTAATAATGATAATTTTCAAAATTATAAAGAAAAACAATACAATTTCTAAAGAGGATTTCATTACTTCTATTGAAATTAAAGCACAATTTAGACAATGCGACTCAATGTCAAACATATGATAGTGATACATCTGTAATATCCATGAAACTTACTGAGATACTTAAAATGTTTGTGGCGTGCTTTCACTAAGCTATACAATATATAAACATTTCTTGATTACACGTTGAAGTCCGAGGCTTAAAAAAATAAGCTCGTTTCCTGTAACATTCCCAAAAAATCAAGGGTCGGTAGGTCAGAATTTTTTTTTTTTTGCTTATGAATGGTGAAACATCCCAAGACTGAAAATAGCAGGTGTTATATTTACAGTGGACACCCAACATGGCATCCAAAACAAACTTCAGAAAGTTGTAGGGGGAAACAGTTGTTACACTAATGATTACTCTTTATATTTATGGTAAATGTAAACTAGGTTGACATATTTTATGTCTCAAATTAAGCTACAAGCTATTGTTTTAATTTCATTAATGGAATCAGCTGATTGATCAAACAAAGTTTTGCCATTTGTCAGGAAAAAAATCCACCCAGGGATAATTTGAATGGGTCGGTCAGGTTACAGGAAACAAAAATAATTTTTTTTAGGCCCAATCCTCACCTGACTTGCACATTCATATGGATTGGTTCTATGTTGATAATCCCTTTCAACAATCTTCATCACAACATCTGAAAGTCACCCATCTTCAAAATTAAATCTGCCGCTCACCTCAAATGTATATAAACTCCCTGTACAAATGCATGGAAAATAAAATTTTGAATAAAAAATGAATTATCTCTTCACCATACCCTGCCTTTTTAAACACATGTTAAAAAATGTGAGAAAATAATTTAAATACTTTTCTGCAGAAAAAGTCATGTAGTGAGTATCCAGCAATGTTGAAAAAAAAAATTATCTCTAGAATTTTACATTTATATTGAATGAAAAATGCTTTGTTCCCTCTGCTTAAAAAACTCAAAAGACATTACCTAAAATGGAAATAGAGTACACCTGTGACTAATCAATGTCTCGGGCACAACCAATAAACACAAGACCTTTCCATCCTTAGCAGCTCCCAATTCCTTGTTTCTACAAAAAATATACAATGAAAATCTTTTTTTAAAAAAATGAGAGCGAAGAGTGTTACTTGGAGGAACAGAGGTAGGAATTATGAAATCAGATTTTGTTATATTTCTGCCAGTGTTGGACAGATAAATTTCCATAATAAAATGAAACGAATTATTCGCAACAAATAAGATACTTGTATTACCTTGCAGTCACAGTTGCACATGATGTATACAGCTGACAACATCCAAAATCCCTTTCTTTGTTGTTTTCTTGGCGGAAATTTCTTGCATTTTAGACTGGTTCCCATCACTCGGAGTTCCTCGGGACTCATACCTCGCGTGGAGGAGTCAGCCGAGCATTGCCGATTGCCCTGAATAAGTCCTACGTTTATTGGTTTTGTTTACAAGCCTCGACATCAATAAAATCTCCCGCATATTTACAGCCTTTATTGTAAGCTACTAAAAACATATCTTACATACAATTTTCACCTCAGTATAATGTTATCCTCTTCATTCAAGTAATATGTAAACTCTTCTCGAATGTACAATGAACGATCTACTTTGAAGAGTAAACCAAATATGGCTCTGTGTATTCGGTTGAATAGCCAATCATTTCAAATCAAGTTGAGCGGGTCTGCATCGTGATCGTTATTTTGATGAAGTTTGCGACCAGTAGTAATTTTTTGAAACCTCATCTAGATTTAAGAAGATTCTTGGCTTGACAACTGCTCGAACTCCCGGGTTGGCATGCACTACAGGTTTGTTTACGATTTCCAGCCGTTTTCACTTTCAGTATAGATCAGTACATTGTGCATGTGAAACAATGAAAGTTAGGCAAAACTACGCTGTATAAATCATTTACTGCCAGAATATTAGATTAGTACTTATGATGATTTGGGGGTTAAATGTTTATGTGTTTCAGTTTATTCTGTAAAGGTGTATGAATATTAAACAAGACAAAGAAAAACAATTCTGGAGTGGGACTAAAATGAGTAGTGAAAACCGAGCCGGTCCTGGAATTTGAAACTGAAAACCGGATTTTTGCTAATTATTGAGAATTTACACAAACAATTGTCATAAAACTCAGTTACAGATGTAATTATGCCTTGGCTAAGAGTTTCAACTCCAAAATTGACAAATAAGTTTGTTTTATATATATCATTGTGTATTTTAAACTGTGTCCATTTTGTTCAAATATAGGTATAGTGAATCAGCATGTAGATTGTTAAAGGGAAAACATCAAGACGGGGCGAGGAAGATGACAAAACATGATTACCCAGATTAAGGATCCCAATGTTCTTTGGTACAAAAACATTTTTTTAAAAATCAAATAATAAGTATCATGAAATGTTACTTGAACAAACATTTACATTATTAAGCAGTACGCTTGACTTGCTCCGGAGTCCGTATCGTCATATATTTGTAAACAAAATGTTAAATTTCCTTTGAATAGGCTCAAGCTTCTCAGCCTACCATGAGAAAATAAAAAGATTTGTCGTGAAGAAGAGGCGGGTTATCAACTTTTCATAAAATGCTGACTGACGTTTTTCATACCAATTGTTAGTCCATTATTTATACACTGAATTGACCACGGATTTTTTCCGTTATGTCCTGATTATGACAACGAGCACACGGCGGGTGTGACCGGTCGGTAGGGGATGCTCACTCCTCCATGGCACCTGATCCCACCTCTGATGTTTCGGATGTCCGTGTTTGCTCTGCTCTTATTTTGTATATTTGTTTAATGGACGTTGAGATTGAATACTGTTCGTTATTTCCATATCCTTCATTAAAGATGGCAAGTATTGTTTGGATCTAATTTTAAAGTGTTCATGATTAAAAAAAAACATAAGGGCAGGGTTCCACACTAACATTTTTATGCTTTGGTCCGGCCGGACTAGTGCTTCCTTACCTTTACTAGTCTGCAGCCGATTTTATGAGTCGTTAAAAAAATATCAATAATAAATAGAATAAACATTTCAATGTACTTTTTTAATTTATTTGAAATAAACAAAGCATTTGCATGAAATGTATTATATCAAGATTTGTTGAAATCGTGCAATCAGGAACTGATCTCATTCGTTTTTCTATATACATGATTACATCGTTCAAACATCCAACATTTTTGTTTATGTGTCATACTAAATCATGATTGCTATAATGTTTTATTTCATACCAATGATTCCTAAAATTAAGCACCGAATTGACTCAGAATTACCTAACTTCCTGCTAAGAAGCTAGAAAGCTAAAAACACATACGGGGTTTTCCAGTGAAAGTTGTCGATAATTGAACATCGGTAAATTCTTTTTTTTTCCAGAAAACTTTATTATTCCCTTCCGACTAATCAGCCACAAATCTTTTAAGTCCGAATGAAAATGTTTTAGTCTGAGACTAACGCACTATCATTAATGTCGACCCTGAAAGGTGTTTCGCAATTCATATCTATTATTTGTGATTGCATTGAGTATTAATTTTCAAAATCAATTCATTCTTTGGTGACTGTGTGCTTCAAACTCAAATTTTTTTTTATATAAATATGAACTATATTTGTCCAGAAGTATAAAATGTAAATCACAGTATGAATTCTATTTCAGCATGATTGTCATCTTCAATTTGAGGGACTCTCACCTCAAGTCCTTTTACTGTTCCATATCAGGAAAAAGATCATGAGCAGAAACACGCTATTGGGGAAAAAGGTACATACATGTATATCTCTTTACAACTTACTGAATTGTTATGCAACATACACTAAATGTTCTGATCATGTCATAGAAATTTTAATATTTCCCCGCAAGCACCTTTTAGCGTGGTACACGCTTCTCTAAAATTTAGCATAGATAATATAATGACACTATATTTTAATGCAAAAATGACTTTTCTTCTTTGATGAGATGTTTGCAAGTATAAAATAGAAGGAAATTGGCATTAAATTAACGACAAAATGAACTTTTTAAAGTGCATGAAAATGCGTGATTGCGAGGGGGAATATCCTAAACCATAACTTGAGTATCATTCTGTTTACATGTACAGCTAAGCTAAATATGTAGCACTATATTGTTCCTTTTGTAAACTGACTACTGAGTAGTCAGGAAAACCTATGATTTCTCTTTATTTTAAGGATTTATTCTTTGGTTTTGTTTAGTACCCTTAAAAAATACATAATTCTCAAATTGTAATTTTAGGCTTTTTGTGATAAGGAATACAAAGTCTAATTAAAATTAGATGTTAGATCCGCTCGCGTACTCGCTACACTAATGTGTAACGAGTATTTGAGCGGATCTAAATTCTAATTTTAATTATATTGAGGGATACATGATTTAACGGTTAACCCATTGATTCTGCATATAATATTATATGTCAATAAAAAGAGGTCCACTCGTCTCTTATTAAATTAATAAATTTACATTTTTTTCTTTTTGAGGTTAAAGGTTATGTATGAACTTTTTATTTATTAATTAGGTTGTGCCTTGTTTTCATTTTTATTAATCATGGTATTGAGAATTCTGATAACACAGATGCCATTGAAAATATTCATACTAATGCATGGCACTGAAAATATACTTATAGTTTTTTTTTCTTTTAGGAGCAGCATTAGATGAATGCCTGCATGGGAAGAAAAGTTTTGGACTCTGAAAAGGGAGATGTGACAAAAACATTTTGACAGTTATTGATTTCCACTGAAACCAATATCCAAGAAAGAGGAACACAGTTTTATGTTGATTCACAACTTTAAATTCAAGAATGTACAGGTGGTTTTATTATAAAACATTTCACATATGAAAAACATTTTCTTGAAATGTACTCTGTCTTGGATACTTATTCATGTGTATGTAATTTGCAGGATAAGATGTGGGCAACATATGCTCTCAAGAATCTTGATGTTTTTGATCTTATGTTTGTAAAAAAAAAAAATTAATAAACAAAGTTCAAGTCAACTTTTTGTTACTTTGTATATATATTAATTAATTATGATGTCCAGACTTCCGCAGTATCAACTTGGAAGAAAAAAATTAATTTATAAATTGCATAAGGCTTTATTCACTAGAATGGAAAATAGAAATTATTAACTTTTGTGGTAATTAAAGATGGTATTTAATTAAATTTAAGATCTGTAATTATCAGATTTAATATATCCTAAATATGGTGTTTAATGGTTGTAAATATTATCTTTACATTTTTGTAAAGTCAAGACAATGTTGGACATTACATCATATTTAAGTGCTTGTAAAGTTTATGTAAAGGTTACCTTTTCCAACTTTGACTTTTTTCAGAAAAGCCAATTGTAAAAAATAAATTTACATTATCTTTACTTGTTTTGTAAAGCCAAATTTTCATGCAGTGTTTATAATCTTCCCCTCTGCCCCTGGGTATTAAAGAAACTAACCAAGTACATAGTTAAAATGAGCAAAGGTCCCTCTTCAACAAATTGTGACTCTCACAAGGACCGTTCCTCTTCTTCGAAAATTGTGATTTTCATGGACCCGTGGTTCTGGTGTAAGGACGGGGCTCCATTGTTTACATTGCGGAAACTCATAATTTTTTTTATTATCTTCCCCTCTGCCCCGGGTATTTAACAAACTAACCAAGTACATAGTTAGGATGAGCAAAGGTCCTTCTTAAAAAATTATGAATATCATGGTCCCTGGGTAAGGGGTTCTAGTAGTATGGTTGTACACTATTGATTAAAAAGATGAAAATATATTTATTCTTTGAAAACCTTCTTCTCTGCTCCTGAGCATTTAATAAACTAACCAGGTGGCTAGTTATATTTGATAAGGCTGCCTCTTCCAAAACTGCGAATTACATGGATTGATTATATAGTTAAAATGCAAAAATTCTTTCAAAAAATCGTCTTTTCTGTTCCTGGATACTAAACCAAATAGCAATATGCAAGGATAAAGTGAGAAAGAATGCCTCTTCCAAATTTGTGAATTTCAGGTCCCCTGGGTCAAGTATTCCGGTGCTAGGTCGGGGTTATTATGATTAAATAGTTAAAAACACGAATTCTTGGAATTGTTTTCTTGGCTCCTAGGTATTGTGCCAATGATAAGAGTTTTTTTTTAAATGATTAATTAATGGGTACGTGGAGGGAGGGGGGTTACAAAGTCTGAAAATAAATAATGCTGTGAAATTTGCTCTTTGGTATTAATCAACCATTTATGATAAAATAAGATTTATGATATCTTTTCCGCTACGTGTATAGTTACATGTATGATAAGCCATGGCGCATCTTTAAAATGGTGTATTTCATAGCCTCTGGTCTAAAACACAAACCAAATTAAATCGTTGAAAAGTTGTTACAGGTACTCAGGTGATCTATAAGGCCAATGGCCATTTATTTTTATATTTATGAAAGATTTTTAACACTGTTGTGTTATAGGCATGTGACCATCAAGGCCCTTGGGCCTCTTGTATAACCTTTTACTGGTCTGGTTAAAAGACACGGTATTTTTTATTGTTCATGTCATTTATCCTTATTTAGCATTCTTAGTATATCGAATATTTCTGTACTTTGACAGGAAATAGGCCATGTCATCCCAATCCATGTCTTTTTAACGGAACATGTCTTGAAGTTCCATTGCCTCCTTATTTCTTTTGCATGTGTGTTGACGATAGAAAAGGCGAACTTTGCGATATTGGTAAGATTATGATTTTTCCTTAATTAATCTGAGATGAAACAATATATGACGACATTTACTAAAACATTACATTCATTGTCCTGCAATATTATTTTTTACCATACATCTATTATGATAGTTTGATACATAAATTGATACTGTAAAATCACAAAATTTCTTGGTCGTTTTATTTTCGTTGTTTTCGAGGTATGACGAGACCCACATAGTCATGTAGACCACACAATATAAAATGTTACATGCATGAGTAATTATTAATTCTTCGTCCACGAAATCAAATCCTCATGAACGAAGAGATTTTCCTCAAACCACAAAAATTTGATCTCATGAAAATATGTAAATTTACAGTATCTCAAATTCCAATTTAGTACATTAATTTGTCATTCATACATATTTTTTTATTTACATCATCTGTGTCTGTGGTATGGTGTAATATAATATGAGCAGTTTATCTATGTGTACATGAAATTGTTTATTTTACTTCCATTGAATTAAGATATCTTCGCAGTACAGTTAAGGTGCGCAATGGAAATATCGACTAAATTTTGTATTTAAAAATGTATTCGTAATCGGGATGGCGATTATTTTTAGTACATTATTTATATCGGATAATTGTAATTATGATTAATAACTACATATCGAGGACTATTATATTTTATATTTAGACTTGTCACGTGATGCGGCAGTCACGCTATTTTAGCACATTGACTTGCAGTATTGATGTTACATATAAATATCACTAGTGCAAGGGCATAACCAAGTTAATTTTCCAAGTTTAATATATAAATATTTTCAACACACATTGTAGTTTCTAAAAAGAGCTGCGATCCTGTCTAAATTCTGCAATTTCATTGTTAAAATTATCCTTGTATGACCGAACGCTGTATTTTTTGCTGGTTAGCGGCATGAAATATTGATATAATTAAATTGTTGTTAGGATTTCATCAGGATCGCAGCACTTTTCAGATACCTTAATAGTTCTAGAGTTGAAATGTTAAAGCTTACTTTTATCCATAGAGTGTATGCCCTTGCACTAGATCGATTTATTAAGACCCCTCACATTACCCTCCGATGTACTTGCATACAAATATACGGCAGTGTCAATTAAATACGCAATGTACAGAAAATATATTAATAAAATAGTGAAGAAGCGATAAATTCAAGTTATTGACCAATAGAATATCTGTAAATAATATTTTATTTTATTAGAGAATACATATTTTGTTGAGAAAATATTGCTTGATCTGTCTCTCACTGCATACAAACTACGTCACGTTGTAAGAAATGACGTCATATTGACAAGTGTATTGCGATCAGTGACTTGTTTATAATTTGTTATGTGGGATTCAACTAACGACAAAACAGCACGCTGTAGTTAGTTTTTATGTAGTTTGGTGGTTTGTTACTGGTTAAATTAGCAGATCAACTCATTTTGTGGTATTTTAAAGAAATGTTGTATGACGTATATTGTGTATGATGTCATAGTCAAGTTTTCCCGTACAAATTAGGCTCCGCCTCCTTTTTGTAACCTTAACTGTGCTGCGTTGTTTTATTGGGTTCAATATTGCAGGTGACTTACAATTATATTTCTATACAGGCAATTTCGTCACATATGATCCTCATTTGAAATACAATGCCTATGTGGCGAAATTGCCTATGGTATATCGGGCACAAACTGAAATGATTATTTAGAACATGCATTTACTATTGATTTTTAGAATTACAAATTACTGTAAACCAACTTTTTTTCGCGACGACTTTATTTTGCAATTTACCAGGGTTACCTTTACTAGATCGCGACGATTAATTTTCTCCATCAAAGCCTTTTTAGCTCACCTGAGCCAAAGACTCAAGTGAGCTATTCTGATCAAAATTTGTCCGTTGTCTGTCGTTGTCGTCGTCGTCGTTGTTGTAAACTTTTTCACAGGTCCAAGTCCCAGTTATAAGCTCAAGTATTTTTTCATATTTTTGAATGAAAGGTATTTCAAACTATGAAAATAACATTTTGGGCTTAGTAAACGTAAAATTTCTTATTTTTGAAGTGAATAGAAAATAAAAGTATTTTGTCTCAGTGTCTATGTGTATTATGATATTGTATATACGTTTTTGTATTTTTAGATCGCCATTGCTTTTTCATTTCCAAATAAATTTATAAACTGAACCTGCGTTTTCCTTCTCCCCTTGGTTATACAGTACCTGCATCGTTATTCTTTACAGATCTATCGTATCCTATCGTATTGTGTTTTCCGTTTATCGTGTTTAGCGTTTTCTGTCGTGTTCTCTGTGTATCGTGTAGATCGTTATCAGGTTCTATCGTGTATCGTGTTTTGCGTTTATCGTGTTCATTCGGAAACCCTCATTTTTTATCTTTACTACAGGAAGAAACTACCGAGGTGTTCCGATTTTCTTTTTCGTTTTGTTAACTAAAATAAGATTACTTTAACCGAAAAAGAGAATAGAAAGTTTTATCCCTTCGTTTTTCATCATTAAAAGAAAAGCTTGAAAGGAAAAGAATAAATATATAAATAATATAATAAATTAATTAAATTATTAATTATAGAGTAAATAAAGAAAATATTAATTTTATTATCAAGCACAGAATCAAGATTAAAAATCTATTTTCAAAAATGAAATAATCGATCCCATGGTCTTTTTCTTTAAGCTCAGCGAATTCTATGGGGGGTGGGTGGGTGGTCAAAATTAACTATTAATAAGATTTTTTAAATTAGTCAGAGTCACTAGAGGAAGATTTTTGGTAAGCCACGATGTATTCGTACCCACTCCCCCTAAAAATAATAATATAAAGCAGGGGATTGATATGTATCTTTTTCAAATGCAATATTCATTTTTTCCCGATTAATCGTCTGATAATATTAGGAATGTGTTTTCGCCTCCGATCTTGATTTTAAATAATAGTAAAAAGCATTTAAGACATTAATCCAGATAACTTTAACACCGATTTTGTCCGTATAGGCTCAATTTTTAAATTTATTTTTATCACTATCTAATTATTTAAATTCCTTGAAATGTCTAAATTACAAAAAATAAAATAAAATTATAAAATCTAATGCATGAAAATGCTTTACCCGATTTATCACACCACTGCAGTTACTATGAAATAGAAGTTTTTCATTAATTTTATCTGGCATCAGATAATCTAATAACTATACAGGCAAAGAATCATAATGACTTTTAACAGCTTACCATTTCGACGTGGAAATAAACTGAAAATATAATGCCTCTGAGTGAAAATCGAAAAGCTTCCTTGCCAGAAAACTGACACGTATGTGTGTCTCTCTAATCAGCACACTGTTCCCCTGTGCGACCGTCAACACCCCTCTTCTCCCCTATTCCCCTAAATGACACCTCAGCCCGTGTGTGTTCAGCGTCAACACCTGTACTGCTTTCTCACCTTGTGTTAAATAGTATTTATTTTTAGGTTTCTGTTCATACCTTGTGTGAACTACACTCATAAAAGATTTTTTTTCTAAATCAATATTATAATAAATTATTGTACATTTCTGATTTCCGGATTTAAAAAAAAATCATTTTCTTGCTTGATTTTAAAGTTTATAAAAAAAATCGTATAAATCAATTTAATGAAAAAATGTTCCTATATAAACTCAATCCGCTGATTTATTGCAGCCCGGAGGACCGGGCTGCTCTATACATATAAGTTTAAATGTTGGTGTATGGGGATTGTGTTGGGAGTAGTTATTTAGAATTAAAGGTTTTCTAAACATTGAAAAGATTGTTATTCAGAAACTTCTTTCCGTTTATAAATTACGAGATACATAATATATTTACTTTCATAAAGTGAAACTGTAAAAATATATACTTTTTCATATATAATATATATAGTTGCTTATCATTTACTATCGAAAAAACGACAGGTCCCTTTTTTTAGAACATCGAATTTTACTTCTCGGATAAAAACGTTCTCTGCACAGTTCGTGTTTTATATTATAATATTGAAAAATGATACATTTTTAAATATAGGTGATGCGTGTGTCTCTATATTTATATTTTATGCAGCCAACATTTACTTGAGGAATTGATCAAGTTTAAAATGGTATCGTTTTTGATTAATTTTTATCCGACTACATGTTTTCAAAATATTCGCGACTATCTTCTCCATCAATAAGACGCATGCCTTTTCACACATATGGAAGCGGTTTGAAGATTAAGAATCATTTTCATCGTTTACTTTATATATTTCCCGGGCGACAATTGATGGTTACATCAATGTTTTCTTGTTTTATTTGTACGATGTTTCCATAATGTTTATGTAAACAAGTCTTTCAATAAACTTTAAAAAAAATACTGCACTTATGGGACATAGACTTTCGAATCATCGGGTTTTCTTTCGGATCTTCGGGTTTTCATCGGGTTACAGACAGAATTAATTCTAGGAAACAATTTCGTAGAAAAGGGTTAAATAATTCTAAAATTCTAAACTATGAAAATTTGCTCGCATTTATTTTTTATTGTATTTAACTATAATAATAATAAAAAAGAAGTCCTCTGATTCTGCCGTGACCACGCAAAACGAGTAAATGTATAGCAACGAATCAATTTATATTCATACCGTCCGTAACTTTATTAAAGAAGTCGATTTTATTTCTGGCTATTTTGTTAGATCGTGTTTATCTAATTTTAAATTGTTATAGACTTTCAAAATGCCGCCCTTCAAACACGCCTCATTTGAGATTATGTCTATAATAATTTCAAGGGTTTTAATTCATTTGCTGACTTAACCCTCTTTAAAATTATTTTTAGTAACAGTACACGCTAAGTCTAATAGCAATGATTTACCATTATTAAGTCGGAAAAGTCGCATTTTACTCTTTCAATATTAATTTATTTAGTTTTGTGTTTTGTATTGTAAAAAAAAGTATTTTATCATTCAATTTTCGTTAATTAATACTGTAACGTGCAACGCGGCCGAGCTTGGGTGTGTGGTGTTATGTCTTGTATCACCGAGGCGTTACACTAGGTTCGTTAACCTGTTAACTCAGATTTTTGTTGACCAATACGATTATAATCAAATATATACAAATACAATGGGTTTCTTCTTGATTGGACAACCACTAACTGTGGTCAACGGGTGTCTCCCGCAAGTCATTTTCTTCTTGCCCTGCCTCTCCACTATTACTGCTGCATCTTGGCACTTCCCCCACCTCTAATTGTGGTATGCCACCTCTCTCTACAACCAAGTGACTGCCTTATTCAGGTCTTACGTGCTTTGGTGTACTGTGAAACACTTAGCTGTTCATCCCCTGCATCCGTCTGCCTTATTCAGGTCTTACGACCGTATGCAAGAGAAGAAACAAACTAATGTTTATCCATTCCGTCACCTGAGAAGTCCCCTGAATTCCCGTAACACAACATGTATTACCTCAGTGCAGCCCCAGTACATAGGCAGTTTCATACTACTTGTATGATCTGAGAATTAATATTTTTTTAGTGTTTAAGAATTTATATAAAAACGTAGGTCTAACGTTTATACAAAACTAAATCACAAAACCAATTTCCGTTTCAATACATATATGAGAGCTTAGCGTTTACGTACATGTACAGTTGTAGCAGATTCATATTCTGTTGACACCGTTTACAAGTGTTAATGCATAGTGCTATTATATTAACATTTATTTAGTTTTCAACTCAGGAAATTAATTTTCTTAAACTGTATATATAGTTCATGAGAGATATATCGTGTTAAATTTTTCGATTTTGTTATAGCCGATTTATTTTACCTTTTCTTATAGCCGGCTTTCTACATGTATTGTTTCATAAGATTTTATTATTTAGTTTCGATTTTGTATACACCGCAGATTGTAAGCTTTAGACATTAAATACAAATATTTAATTTTTTGAGTAAAGTTCTTCCGTAAACTAATTTAGTACTTGTAGATAAATTAATTACCTACAAATAATTTTATCTTTATTAATAATGAAATGAACTCATTTATAGTGTTTCATAAATATTGTACCCGTGATAAACAACAGAAGTCAGTGGGATTTTCAACACAGCTTTACATGTACATGTATGTTCAAACATCCGTAATTAAACGATTCTTGGTTCAACCTTAAGGCAAGAATTTCGATATTTACAATAATAATTAGAAATAATAATTAGAAATCACCACCTTTGAGTTGAAATAAAAAAAATACAATCTGCATTTCATTATAATCCATTAAATCATTGTCAAATAAATGAATGAATAAAACTTTTGTAAAATTACCACAGTGATCTCAAGTTGTTTTATAATTATAATTCTTTAAAATACTTTATAATATATAGGTTGAAGCTTTGAAAATATCTAAATTAACATATTGCAGTAATCAAACAAAATAATTTTTTTTTCTTGTCAAAAAACGTTTCGCATTTTGAAACAGGTTTTGCGTTTATCCTATCGTGAAGATCGTTTATCAGGTTTATCGTGTTTTGCGTGTATCGTGTTCTGCGTTTATCGTGTTTTGCGTTTATCCTATCGTGCGTGTATCCTGTAAAGAATAACGATGCGGGTACTGTAATTAGGTGAAAGAGATTTAAAAGAATATATTTTTCTTTCCTCGTCATCATTGTGCATCTTTAAATAGAAATGGTAAATTGTGTTCGAAAACGAGCAGGGGCTATATTTTTGGCGGAATGGAGGCGCATGAAAACATTTTCTTTTCTGCCTCTCAAATTTATTATAGAACAACGAATTTAGTTATAAGTTTTACAGAATCAAAGATTTGAAGAATTTTCAAATGTTTGCTAAATTAATATAAGGGAATAAAGTTTTAAAATGTATCAAATAAATATGATTTTTCAAACAAACTACAGCTATGTTGACTTTTAAATGCTTCCAATTTGAGTACAGATGTGAGCCAAAAATCCATAGAAAGTGTTTTTACTCTCTAAGTAAACGGTCAAAACGTTTGTTTTTGTATCATTTTGTATCTCTATCTGACTTCATTACCATATGTGAAAATAAGAAAAAATTGAATATAGGACCCATATAAAAATAACATATATCCTTAAAAAAATTCAGAAAAACAGAGAAAATTCGGATTAACCAAAATACATTTCTTGTTAAACTATTTATGTCAATTTGGTAATGTCAATTTATAGACCCTATATAATTATATCTTTTTGTGCAAAAAGAAAAACATTTGATTTTTTTTTATATAGAAGACCGTATCGCATGATTGGATGCAGTTAGTTTTTTCTTAATGTCCAGGGAAAATGTAATGACCCTGACCTGACCTTGACTCTTAACCATTCCTATCAATAACTAAGGCATACTAATAATTGTTCTGTTTATGATAGACCGATGCCAGGCAAATCCATGCAATGATACTCAAGTTTGTCAGACGTCTGGATGTTTGTATTCCCAGTAAGTTTTTAAATAAAATTAAAATAAAACAGTATCATACCAATTATCTACGTTCATGTCTATGATGAAGAAGAGTGTCGCTTTTAAAATGGTTTATTTCATAACCCATGGATCAGGGGTTTAGGGGTAACATAGTCTGGAAATAGTCTGAAAATAAAAAATACTTTGAAATCTACTCTTTAGCATTACCAGCCATTCGTGATGAAGTAAGATTTATAACAAAATCTCCGCTAAGCGTATAGTTATTATAAGCAATGGTGTCTTTTTCAAAATTGGGAATTTCATGGCTTCCTATTTAAACACAAACCAAATTCAATTCTTCGAAAGTTGTTATATGGTATTCAGGTCATCTATAAGGCTGATAAGGCTCTTGGGCCTCTTGTTTTATATTTTTATAGATCCTTAACAGTGTTTTATACTCAGGTGACCATTAAGGCCCTTTAGCTTTTCACTTGTCTGGTTAAAAGATACATCTAGGGTGTTCATGAAATTTGATATTTTTATTGATCGTGTCATTTGATAAGCCATTTATCTTTAATCAAAATTGTAAAATTCATGCAAGAATTTTTACCATGGTCGATAATATAAAATTATGGACTTCAGTGTAGGTCGATATGTTGTTATAAGGACTCAAAACAATTGATAAGACACAGAAAGTGATAGCGACCGAGTCTGCGAGGTCTTTATCTTTTCTGTGTCTGATATCATAAAAGGAGGAATTTCACGTGACGTCCATTCAGCCAATGAAAATTACGAAAATAATCTTCTTACATGATATTTCATTATGTCGCCCTAAGTAAAGTAACTTCAAAGTAACTGAAAGGGACGTCGGTATCATAATTGATCCATATATAATTAGTTGGCATAGTTATATAACTTTAATTCAGAGATGGCTTCTGTAATTTTTTTTAAACTTCGCAGTAATAAGACCTCAGAGTGCACTTTTGCATGGAACATTTAAAATGACGCTTTTCATTTTCCACTTATTCTTGAACTGGTCGACACGACAAAATATTCATCGGAGAGGAAAAATCATACATATTTAATGCAATGTGTATATATGCTATAATTATAGCATAGAAGATGTAAAAATTGTTTTTTAAAACTTTATTACATTAAAGTGATTATGCAAAATAAAGACATCTGTTCCTATTTACAATATTCAATAATAATTGAGGAATATCAATTTGCATATTTATCGACATCCAAAATGGTATTTAACGTAGAAACTACGTCGTCTGAAATCATATCTGTGTTTCGCCTGTGCGAATCCATGATCATATTCTAATTAATTTAATGTTAAATTTTCCTGTTCTTTATCAAACATTTCACTTTTAGTTTATATTAACAGTTAAACAAAACATAATTCCTTTTATTTTTTAGATCCTTGTGCATCAGAGCCTTGCCAAAATATGGGAAGCTGTCACTCATTCGATAATAACACCAGATATAACTGTTCCTGTAGGAACGGATTCAGTGGAAATCTTTGTGAAAAAAGTATTCTGCGCTTTTATACTAAAATCAAGCAAATAATTTATAATTAAAGATGAATGATGTTTATCTGAAAAGAAACAGAGATCAATAACTTTAACTATTTTCCGAAAAAGGGATACTTAATTTCTTTAGTTCAACTACAGATTTAAAGTCACCATACCTATTGCTATCCGTTTTCGTCCTTCGTCATGCACCCTGCTTCTTGTGTTAACATAAGCATCTATGGGTGCAGGAAAACAAAAACTGTGTATCCCATGCTCCCTATTTCCCTGGGACCAAAACCACTAAATAAATGCAATCTTTAAAGATTTTCTTCTTTACTCCTGGACATTAAACAGTGAAATTGTTCATCGTTATGTTGAATAAGACTGCCTCTTCCAAAATTGTTAATTTTCAAGGGCCCAGGGTAAGAGGTTTTGATGTTAAGGCGGGCCTCTATTGATTATATAATGACAATTCATTAATTATTTGAAATCTTTTTCTTTGCTTCTGGATATTCAATGAACTAGATAAGTACATAGTTGTTTTAATAAGGCTGCCTCTTCCAAAATAGTGAATCTCATGACCCCAGGGTAAGAGGTTCTGGTGTTAAGGCGTTCTTGATTGAATATATAATGACGATTCATTGATACTTTGAAATCTTCCCCTTTCATTCTGGGCATTTAATAAACTAATTAAGTACATAATTGTGTTGAGAAAGGCTGCCTCTACCAAAATTGTGATTTTCGTGGGCCCGGGGTCGGTTCTATTGATTATATAATGACAATTCATAAATTCTTCCTCCTCTGCTTTTGGGCATATAATAAACTTATCAAGTACATGGTTATGTTGAATAAGGCTGCCTTATCAAAAATTGTGATTGCATCGCCCAAGGATCAGGTGTTCTGATGTTAGAGAGGGTCTCTGTTGATTATGTAGTGCAAATGTATGAATTCTTTAATTTGAAAATCTTATTCTCTACTCTCTGCTCTATACTCCTGGGTATTAAACAAACAAATAATATGTACATACATAGTTATACTGAGTAAAGGTCCCTCTTCAACATTTGTGACTCTCACAAGGTCCGTTCCTCTTCTTCGAAAATTGTGATTTTCACGGACCCAGTGTAAGGGTCTCTGGTGTTAGGACGGGGCTCTATTGATTACATTGCGGAAATGCATAAATTGTTTTATAATCTTCCCCTCTGCCCCTGGGTATTAAAGAAACTAACCAAGTACATAGTTAAGATGAGCAAAGGTCCCTCTTCAACAAATTGTGACTCTCACAAGGACCGTTCCTCTTCTTCGAAAATTGTGATTTTCATGGACCCGTGGTTCTGGTGTAAGGACGGGGCTCCATTGTTTACATTGCGGAAACTCATAATTTTTTTATTATCTTCCCCTCTGCCCCGGGTATTTAACAAACTAACCAAGTACATAGTTAGGATGAGCAAAGGTCCTTCTTAAAAAATTATGAATATCATGGTCCCTGGGTAAGGGGTCTAGTAGTATGGTTGTACGAGGGTTGTCCCAAAATTTCGTAGACTGAGATCATATCTTTTAAAGAAATCAATGTATCTTTATAAAATTTTCAGGGTGGATAAAGCATGTTCTTGGCAGATAAATTACGAAGTTTTATCATGTTTACTTGAAAACTTTTTGAGTAATAACATTTAAAGTGATGTCATTCTCTAACACCCGGAGCAACCTGCAACGTTAAAAAATACAAATGTCAACGGTTCAAAATTTTAAAGAAAATATTTCAACTACGAGAATCAAATTCTTAAATCAAACGAAACGGTTATAATTATAGATGTGAAATATCTTATTACTATGATATGATTAAACATTAAAATATGTAAACAAACGATATGCATGTACAGGTATGAAATAATAATAATTTGAAAACGCTATATTTTCTACGGGCTTTTCGTTTATTTTCTCTAATGGATTTGCACAATGGAACTCTTGCCAATTTCTTAGCCCTGTCGTTTATTTTAATTACTGTTATTGACATATACATAGAGAAACCTTTTAGTCATTTTAAATACTAAGGAGGAGATAAAGTTTCCTAGTCTACCAAACATTTATTATGTTTATGACTGGTACATTTTTGTAAGAGTGAATTCAGGATCAAAACACTTGATCATAGTTCAGTGCGCCGCCTGTGCCAACGCCGCCGCCATTTTTCACAAATTCAGCTTTTAACCCCATGTATATAAAACGTTATAAAATTCATATTTATCAAAGCATACACACCAAAATTTGAGGAAATATAGTTGATAAAACAATATTAAGAATTTTCATTTCCATAAAAAAAATATGGGGTAGTAATAACTTTTCCGTAGGATTTTAAATATAATATACCAAATTTTAATAGCATCTTTCGGGTATTGCGCCACCTTCCTACACAAGACAATGAAATGCGTCTTTTAAATTGGAATAATTTGTGTAGTAACTCCATATTTGTCCATAAATTTATTAGATAATGTTTGTTTAATCTATATACGAAGTTTCATTCATGTATGACGTAGGGTTCCCACAAAACAACGCTTGTCTACGGAATTTTGGGACAACCCTCGTACACTATTGATTAAAAAAAATGAAAATATACCATATTTATTCTTTGAAAACCTTCTTCTCTGCTCCTGAGCATTCAATAAACTAACCAGATGGATAGTTATATTTAATAAGGCTGCCTCTTCCAAAACTGCGAATTACATGGATTGATTATATAGTTAAAATGCAAAAATTCTTTCAAAAAATCGTCTTTTCTGTTCCTGGATACTAAACCAAATAGCAATATGCAAGGATAAAGTGAGAAAGAATGCCTCTTCCAAATTTGTGAATTTCAGGTCCCCTGGGTCAAGTATTCCGGTGCTAGGTCGGGGTTCTTATGATTGAATAGTTAAAAACACGAATTCTTGGAATTGTTTTCTTGGCTCCTAGGTATTGTGCCAATGATAAGAGTTTTTTTTTTAAATGATTAATTAATGGGTACGTGGAGGGAGGGGGGGGGGGGGTTACAAAGTCTGAAAATAAATAATGCTGTGAAATTTGCTCTTTGGTATTAATCAACCATTTATGATAAAATAAGATTTATGATATCTTTTCCGCTAAGTGTATAGTTACATGTATGATAAGCCATGGCGCATCTTTAAAATGGTGTATTTCATAGCCTCTGGTCTAAAACACAAACCAAATTAAATCGTTGAAAAGTTGTTACAGGTACTCAGGTGATCTATAAGGCCAATGGCCATTTATTTTTATATTTATGAAAGATTTTTAACACTGTTGTGTTATAGGCATGTGACCATCAAGGCCCTTGGGCCTCTTGTATAACCTTTTACTGGTCTGGTTAAAAGACACGGTATTTTTTATTGTTCATGTCATTTATCCTTATTTAGCATTCTTAGTATATCGAATATTTTTGTACTTTGACAGGAAATAGGCCATGTCATCCTAATCCATGTCTTTTTAACGGAACATGTCTTAAAGTTCCATTGCCTCCTTATTTCTTTTGCATGTGTGTTGACGATAGAACAGGCGAACTTTGCGATATTGGTAAGATTATGATTTTTCCTTAATTAATCTGAGATGAAACAATATATGACGACATTTACTAACACATCACTTTCATTTTCCTTCATATTGTGTTTTAACATTAATCTATTATAATAATTTTATACATGAATTAATATTTTAAAAGCCTAATTTATTACTTTAATTCGTAATCCATGTAGTTTCATTTACATCATTTGTCTAGTATGTGGCATGATATAATTTATGAACAGTTTATCTATGAGTACAGGTAATAATTCATTTTACTTCCCTTGAATGTTGAAATATTTTGCTTATGTTGGTTTAAATATGGCAGATGACTCACGGTTATATTTTTATACAGGCAATTTTGCCACATATGATCCACATATGATCATTATTTGAAAGCCAATCATAAGTGGCAAAATTGCCTATGGTATATCGGCACAAATTGAAATAATTATTCAGCAGATGCATTGCCAAATAATTTTTAAAATTAAAAAATGTTTTTTTAAACCTTTCCTATATATGTCAAATTAATTGAAAATACAGTAGTAGACATTTTTCAAAAAGTTGACTTATATATGCAGCAGTATCAAATATTGATCAATCAAGATGGAGCAGAGCCATCTATGAGATTGACCAAAACAAAATATTTCTGAAGACAATCAGTAACAAACCCAATAAGTAATAATAGTAAACAGAGTGTGTTTGCATGTCTTGTTTATCGTCCTACTGAGAATGCTTTAAACACATTGAGTCCCCTCTGTTTACTGGAGGGCTGTACTCGGTACTTACGGCTTTATAGCAATAGGTGGTCTTTTTCCTGCTATCACTAACTGTGACACGAGACTTCAGTGATACAGTCGATTACTGCACCACGCAAAAGACCATAAAATGTAAGATTTGATTTATTTTTTAATCAAACTTTAATATTTATAAATAACTAGATTCCCTAAAGCGAAGGATTCTATCGCAGAAAGGATTCCTATAGATAAATTTAGCATTCAACATTGATAACGATGCAAATAAACTTCCGTTTTGATAACACACACCTTACTCCCACATGGAATACTTTACTATAGCAACTTTATTGTGAGGGGATAAAAGTAAAATTGTAGATTTTTCCCATTTGTATTTTGATTTGATTCTGTTTTGATTCATAAGATATAATATCATAGTATACTTAGATTGCTTAAAAATTACTAATAATTGATCTATTTATGATAGACCGATGCCAGGCAAATCCATGCAATGATACTCAAGTCTGTCAGACGTCTGGATCGGATGTTTGTATTCCCAGTAAGTTTTTTTTTAAGATTTAGATTAACAGTGTGGTTTGATAAGCAATTTATCTTTAATATGAAATATAAAATTCATGCAACAATTTTGATCATGGTCGATAATGTATTGTGTCGCCCTAAGTAAAGTAACTTCAAAGGACATTTGATGGGGAAGGCGGTATTATAATTGATCCATCTACATGTATAATTTAGTTAGCAAAGTTAAAGTTTTAATTCAGAGATAACATTTGTAATCATTTTAAAACTTTACAGTTATAAGACATCAGAGTGCACTTTTGCATGGAACATTCAAAATGAAGCTGTTGATTTTCTATTCATACTTGAACGAGTAATATTCATCGGAGAGGAAAAAATCATACATATTTAATGAAATGTATATATATTGTATAGTAATTTTATTGTAGCATAGAAAGTGTAAAAATTGCTTTTTAAAACTTAATGTCATTAATGTGATTAAGCAAAATAAGTATATGTGTTCCTATTTACAAAATTCAATAATAATTGAGGAATATCAATTTGCACATTTAACGACCTCGAAAATGGTATTTTACGTAGAAACTACGTCGACTGACATCATATATAGTGAATGTGTTTCGCCTGTGCGAATCCATTATGACATTACAATTAATTTGATGTTAAATTTTCCTGTTCTGTATAGTTTCAATATAAATATTGAAAAAAATGAAACATTTTGAAATTCATGGAATTCAGTTTAACATCTTGCAAAGATTCTCTTAATAACTGTGTTACAGATAAAAATTTACCATCGACAATTCTGACATTTTTATTCTACATTTCTACATATCTGTTGTCAGAATTGCTTCAAACCGTCATATTTATCAGCTCTAGTATTTTGAAATGTTTTAATTATCTTAATTAGACGTGAGCATGATGATTGATACGACCAGATGAACGATGCTTTTGGATACTTAGTTATTGTTTATTTAACGTCATTATCTTTAAAACTACTTGTAAATCAAATAACTAATGTCAATTGTTACTCAGAATTGTCAATTATCAATATTGTCTATAGACACAGGTAAAGATGTTTGTTAGCATTCGAGGACGCGGTTGTCCTTTATACTGTCCGACCCAAAGAGAAATAAAGGTTTACAATCGTAAGGCGGCTATATTTTCATTTTCCAATAGTCCACCCTAGAGGATTAGCAATCGGACCATATAAAGTCAGAATGTGATACTTTTATTCAATTTATATAATCTATAAAGCTAAATGACTAAAAGAGAATGGTATGCAACTGTTTTTAGGGGATGTAAAAAGTAAAAATCTTCAGTTGCTAATTAAATACTATAATATCTTGATGAAATGTATCTGAATCAAAGATGTTTTTTTCTTATTCTCTTCATGACAAGTACCCCTAACAATGACTGACAATGTGAAGTTGCAGTATGTAATTACCATTCCAAGTCTCACGGGCTGCTCTACATTTAAAATCAAGGAAAAATATAATGTGCTTTTAACTGACCATTGTGCGAGTGCTTGTTTATCATTTTGAAAAGTATGAAAATCTTGTGACGAAGACTTTTCCGACATGGTTTCTACCTTATATAGTATTTACAATCCAACTGGTATTTTAGTGTCACATTCTCAAAAGACGTTCTATGGTTGTCTGAGTTAACTTAAAAAGACTATTGTAGCGATTTCAATTCATTTAGCTTTCCTTATTTAAGTCTTTATATTCCCTTACTTAAGTTTTTATATTTCAAATGCATGCATGGTGTTTACATCTTCTGGATCATTAGCACTAAATAAGAGATAAACAAACATCTCCTTATTTCCACATTATAAAACGTATATAGGGAATGTTCTTAAAAGATTGCAAAAATTATGAATCACTTAAAATACCAGATATAAATTCGAAAATATGATTTCACAGAAATAAAGTGATAAAATGTTAATGTTTGGTACCCAAGACAATGTAACCCTGATTTAATTTTACAGAAACAATAGAGTAGACTATTTAAAAGCACGCATGGTGTTAAAATGATAAAAAAAAATAGTCAGTCCGGTGTTATTTTTTTAAAATTAAATGTCATTGTGCATATTTATTTTTTGCGATTTTTTTTATTTTTTACATTAAACATGTATATATCAAGGGCTCGGATCACTTAATGCATAAAACGGCTCTGTAGATATACCAATTTATTGTTCCACTTTATGTTCCATTTTAAACATCGAAATAGAGTAGACACTTAGTTCTTTCATTTCTTTAAACTCCAGGTCTAGGAACACATGTTTTATAAAATTGCACTGTTCTTGAATTTTAATGTACATGTAAACAGGTATATTTGGATACTTTCAGAGAAGACAAATAATAAAAGCGCACCCTCTGATCTAAAAAGAAATATCTTTTTACCCTCAAAACAGTTTTGTCACCCAATAGTTGTTTATTATAAATCAGAGGTTGTGCTCTTTATTAAAATTGAAAAACTTTAAAAATTGATTTTTTTTGTAGAACTTTTCAGAATTTGAGAAAATAGACTCATCTCGTGACGTTCTAAATATATAATGCATTGATTAGCCAGAAATGATGTCATTTTTATCGACATGCAATGAAAAAAGATCTTATTGTGATTTTATTCATTGTTTACTAAAATTAAGCAGTTTCAAAATTCACGGGGCCAAAAAGAAGTGAATGTTGTTTTCTAATTATACGAGCGTTGTTCGATAATTAATGTCCTCGGTGATCGGAAAGAAACAAAAAATCAAGCTTTTCACTCATTTAGTCTCAAGAATTTCACTTAAATATTCTCTGTGATTAAACGCATGTCCGTAATATTTTTATCCAATTTCTTATTGAATTTTTTAGAACAATTTTGAATACTGAAATAGGGAACTCCAAGATCATATGATTTCCTGAACTTGATTCTTTTTTTCTGAAAGGTGTTTTTCAAGTTTGAAAAATGAAACAAGTGAAGGGTGAAAGATCTGGCAAATACTACTATATAGTTAACTATAGTAAATCAAATTTCAAAGTTTTTGTCAAAGTTTTTCAAAGTGTCAAAGTTTTCGCCAAAGTTTTTCAAAGTGTCAAAGTTTTCGCCAAAGTTTTTCAAAGTGCCAAAGTTTTCGACAAAGTTTTTCAGTGTGTCAAAGTTTTCACCAAAGTTTTTCAGTGTGTCAAAGTTTTCGCCAAAGTTTTTCAAAGTGTTAAAGAAACAAATTCAGACAAAATCGCCAAAGTTTTTCGGAAAAGTGAAAAAAGTTTTCTTTAAAGTTTTTCAAAGTATCAAAGTTTTCAATGAAGTTTTTCGAAGTGTCATAGTTTTCAATAAAGTTTTTCGAAGTTAAAGTTAAAGTTTAAAGTATTAAAGTTTACGATTTTCTCAAAGTGTCAAAGTTTTTGATAAAGTTTTTCGAAGTGTGAAAGTTTTCGGTAAAGTTTTTTAAAGTGTCAAAGTTTTCGATAAACTTTTTCAAAGTGTTAAAGGATCCAAGTTTTCAATAAAGTTTTTCAAAGTGCTAAAGTTTTCAATAAAATTTTTCAAAGTATCCAAGTTTTCAATAAAGTTTTTCAAAGTATCCAAGTTTTCAATAAAGTTTTTCAAAGTATCCAAGTTTTCAATAAAGTTTTTCAAAGTATCCAAGTTTTCAATAAAGTTTTTCGAAGTATCCAAGTTTTCAATAAAGTTTTTCAAAGTGTCAAAGTTTTCGATAAAGTTTTTTAAAGTATCCAAGTTTTCAATAAAGTGTTTTGAAGTGTCAAAGTTTTCAATAAAGTTTTTCGAAGTGTCAAAGTTTTCGATAAGTTTTTCGAAGTGTCAAAGTTTTCAATAAACTTTTTCAAAGTGTTAAAGTATCCAAGTTTTCGATAAAGTTTTTCAAAGTGTCACAGTTTTCGATAAAGTTTTTCAAAGTGTCAAAGTTTTCGCCAAAGTTTTTCAAAGTGTCAAAGTTTTCGCCAAAGTTTTTCAAAGTGTAAAAAAGGTTTTCGCCAAAGTTTTTCAAAGTGTCAAAGTTTTCGTCAAAGTTTTCAAAGTGTCAAAGTTATCACTATAGTAAATCAAAGTTTTCAAAGTGTCAAAGTTATCACTATAGTTAACTATAGTGAACTATAGCTAACTAAAGTATTTTTTTGTTAGGGTAGGGTTGGGCCACAACAGTCGATCAAAGGTTTTACATAGGAATAAATAGGAAAAATCTTTAAAAATCTTCTGAAAAACATTATAACAGGAAATATGAAACTTATGCTGAATCATCCTCAAGTATTATAGAAATATATTTATTCAAATCATGACATCCGGGGGTATGGTGGGGCCACAATGGCCGATCAAAGTTTTACTTTAGAATACATGTATACAGGGAAATATTTTCGATTGATTGATTGTATATTGTTTAACGTCCCTCTCGAGAATTTTTCACTCATGTGGAGACGTCACCGTATGCCGGTGAAGTGCTTTCAAATTTTGACCTTTACTCGGCACTCAGGGCCATTGAGCAGTGAGGGATCTTTATCGTGCCAACGCCTGCCGCTGACACGGGGCCTCGGTTTTTAAGGTCTCATCCGAAGGACCCGCAACTTTCACTTCAAAGTGCGTAGCGCATGGCGAAGGAACAGTTTTAAAAATTTTAACGACTAGGAAATCAGTCGCGGCCGAGATTATAGAAATATATTTATTCCTCCCGATCACGGAGCGAGCGCTCTACCGACTGAGCTACCGTGAACGTTAAAATCTTTTTGAATCTTTTTCTCAAAAACATTGAGACAGGAAATATGAAAGTTATGCTGAATCATTCTCAGGTATTATTGATTTATATCTATTCAAATCATGACATGGTCGATCAAAGTTTTACATAGTAATTTAGAGAAATCTTTTAAAATCTTCTCAAGTACTGCAAAGTCATTATCAATAATATTTAAATGAAAGCATTTTCAGGTTTAAATTTGTTCAAATCATAACCCCCAAGGATATGGTGGGGTGGGGTCTTAATTTTGGATCAAATTTTACATGGGAAATTAAAGAGAAATATCCCAAGAAGAAAAAAGCTATGTTCAGTTATATTGACTTGTAACATCCTCATGTATCAAAGATTTAAAATCGTTCAAATCATGATCCTTTGGGGTAGGGAGGGATAAAATGAGAAATCAAATTCAAATTATTACGACGTAATATATACAAACAATGCTTTAAAAATCTTTAAATATCTTTTTCCGAAGAACAGCAAAATGATATGCTGAATTGCTGAAGGATATAGAGATAACGATCAGTATTCAATATCCATAACACATACAAAATAGGAGCAGAGCAAACACGGGCATTTAAAACATTAGAGGTGGGGTCAGGTGCCATGGAGGAGTGAGCATTTTTTGCCGACCGGTCACACCTGCCGTCTGCTCCTTGTCATGATCAGTAAATAACGGAAAAATTTGTAGTCAAATCAGTTTATAAATAATGGACTTAAAATTAGTATGAAAAACACCAGTCAGCATTTGACTCAATGATAGATTGTATTTGCCGACAAGGTCGATGTATAGATTAAAAAAATTACCAAATGATGACTTTAAACTAGATTGCTGATATTCTTGTTTCATCAATTTTTCAATAACGTACCTCGTTTTAGAAGCTGTTCATTCGTAGAGCGTGCTCTTTCATATCAAATCAAGTGAAATAAATAAACACCGTACGCAGGTAAGAAGGTATATTGCTGCATAAGTAAGGGAAGTTGACGAAAGAAAAGTTTAAGTCATCACGTTTATCATAGAGCTTGGCTGTTATATTACCATTAACATCTTTTTCAAGAAAAATATCCAAGTATGAAACAGATGTTTGAGACTCTATGGTATATTTTATCTCAAACTCCCAAGGATATATCGTATCGCCAAAGGAATTTTATTGACAATACGTCGTCGATATATCTAAATGTCGAGTTGAAGGCCACAGCAAGTGTTTTCTTCTTTTCACGCATATTTGAAAATCTTTTGGGTCAGTGCCTGTGGAAAATATTATCTAAAGAAATTTCATTGAAAATTGGTGTCCTCTGCAACGTTTAAAGAAAATGCGGGAAAATACACATGTTTATGACGTCATCATAAGCATCTCTTTGAATTACTATGGTCAAGTTGTAGCGTGTATTGTTAAACTTTATTATTGTGTTAGGAATACACGACTTTACATAGGAAATTGTAATATATCCCCTCGCAAGTTTTGTTCTTTAAAGCATTCTGAAATACACATTGATAAAACTTTCGATTCAAATTTTATTTGCCTTTAAACAAGATAAAATCTAAATAAAATTTTTGAATTTTTCTTGCTTTCCCGTTAAAAAATGTTTGTAAGTATTATTATTTTTTTATTGATAACAGGTCGGTAATAACTTATAAAGTCTTTTTTTCTTATAGATACAAGTTCTTGTACAATGAATTCGTGCAAAAATGGGGGCTTTTGTGATGATCATTTGGGAAAAAAGACTTGTCTTTGTCCTATGGGATTCTCTGGAGAAACTTGTTCTACAGGTAAATATATCTAGTGCTGACTTATTGTAATCCAGTTCATAAAGACGTATTCTCTTCCATTTTAGCTTTGTTGTTTCTTTATTGATTTATATTCCAATTCTTATGTTGTTATGAGATATCCTGGTGAGCTTGAGAAAAAACCACAGAATCTGACACATCTGTATCATTTTTGAATATTTTACTTAAAATGAAGTAACTGTAGTCTAACAACCAAGCTCTATGATAAATTTGATGACACACAACTTTACATTTGTCAACTTTCCTTACTTATGCAGCAATATCCCGTCATCACCTGCATATTGATGTTATTACTCTCAATCGATGCGATACGCAAGAGCATGCTCTACGTATGAACAATTTCTAAACCGAGGTAAAATATTGACAAACAAGTTGATAAAACAAGAATATCAGCAGTCTCATTTGAAGTCATCATTTCGTAAGTTCTCTGATCGATACAATGACCTTGTCAGCAAAAGCAATTTATCAAGGTATCAAATGCTGACTGACCTTTTTTATACTTATTATTTGTCCACGTATTAATACCCTGGATTTACGACGAATGATTTCGTTATTTCACGAACATGACGGTGAACACTCAGCGGTTGTGACCGGTCGGCAGGCAATGCTCACTCCTCTATGGCACCTGATCCCACGTCTGATGTTTTGAAGTTCTGTGATTGCTCTGCTCCTATTTGATCTTGAACACGGTTTCGTTATCTCCATAAGTTTGAATTTATGATTGTGTTAAAAAAATTAATTCCAAAATAAACTGATCTGAACGAGACAAAAAGTGACGACATTTTTCTTATGTACACATACACATTCTAATTAGGAAGGAGAAGGATATGGAGATAACAAACAGTATTCAAAATCAAAGTCCATAAAACAATACATTATAAGATCAGAGGAAACACGGACCTCCGAACCATCAGAGATGGGATCAGGTGCCAGCTGATAATGCTAAAGAGAGCATTAGGTTCCCAAGTTAATTTAAAATACCCGGGGGGGGGGGGGGTATCTCATGAAATACTAAATTAGTCATCATTTCACATTTCATTCTTAGAATTTGGTTTACCTCAGCAGATTGACAATAACAGTCTAGAATATGTATGTATATGTTTTCTCACCTTTTAAATTTATTTTAATGTTACAATCATATATGTAAAGTAACGTTTATTGTAGGTAAAATATTTGAATATGAAAAATACCTAAAATTACGTAAAAATTCTTCATTTTTTCTTAAAATATACATTAACGTATTTAAATACAATTTATATGCAACTTCAGCCCCTCTTTGGAAATACGTTGCTACCAAAACAATTAATTTGTTATTTGCATGAGGAATGCGAGCTGTATCTTTTAGTATCTGAAAGAAATGGGTAAGTTATATGTAGTAGTTTTGTATGTGTATTCTCATGAATAAATGCTTGAATTTTTGTAATTTCTATAATGAATAGAAATTTTAATATTTTAGTCATAAATGATATTTATTATGATTTGGAAATGAATATATGCTCTGCATTATAACTATAAGACCATCATATTTTGACTCTTTATGATCTAAGGTGACACAAAATTCCATACAGGAAATAGCGCTGCAAGAATACTGTAAGTGTCTTCTTATTTTAGGTTCTTAATAAATACAATCATGAATTCGTCCAACATACTGGAAATAAACAAAACCCGGATATCCAAGGACTACCTAGTTACGTTAACCTTGGTCACTTTGAAACATAGCGTACACAATCTCTGTGTAAATATTTCTCAACAAAGATCCAGGCTAGTATTTGAATATTCACAAAGAACAGATTGATAAATCTTTTGATTTATGAAAGTTTGTAACTTTTCTGATAAATTGATATTCATCGTTAGAATGAGAAAAAAAGTCCCTTTAAAAGTGCGTCAGTAAGTTTTTAAAAAAGTTTATTCAATTCTATGATTATAATCCCATTTTCTTCAAAGATTTTTTTGGATCAAAAAATATTTCGACTTTGTTTATTGTTTTGTTAAATTTGATGCGCTTTGTTCCTCCAAATTCTGGAATCATTGTTATCACGATTAAATGCATGTATCAAAATGCATAAAATAATTTTTTTATGGATCTCGTCTTTGTATATAGAATATTCTTTGTTCACAGTATTGCAACAGACATGGTTTGCTGCAGTATTTCAACTAAAAAATCGGGTATGTTTATTGAAGCCTTAGAGGATGAGTGGTCAAGTGACTCAAATTGATCATTCCATTGTCTTTTTTAATCTACATGCAAACATACTTAGAACATCAGTGCTTTGAAGCAAAAAGCTTCAAAATACAATAGATATATACTAATCTTATATTAAATTTAGATTTTAAATCACATAAAATACATCAGAGAGTATGACTCATGTATTTATTTTTGGCTGTGTTTTTCTTAGAAAAGAAATATCGATCGGTAACTGAAAACTTAACTTTAAGATAAACCTGATCTCTTCAACTTTCATTTAGTAAAAAGCAATATATCATTGTTAACTGTGGAAAAAAATAAACATCTCCAAGATGATTCGATATGCAAAGACATCTTCTATCCACCTACAATTTCTTAAACAATTATATCTACAAATAAGTTGGTGATTCAAGGTAAAACAGTACTAGTTTTGAAATCTTTAGATAATTGAACATTGTATTATATTGTAGATACTAATACTTATGGTGCATGCAATGACGACACCGATGACTGTCGTGATCCTCGCGCTCTACACAATATCTGCTCAGATCAAACCACAGCTATTTATTGTCGTAAATCCTGCAAACTTTGCAGTGAGTGTTTTTTCTTCCAAAGTAGAATTATTCAATGAAAATATATTGTTTGATAAGTCATCTGTTCATCTATTCGTTTTACATTTGACATTTTTTTCTAGGGAGCATACCAATCAACAGAGAAAAGGTACTATATTTGAAGCAAAATTATGATTATTTGTTTATACTGCATTTTTCACTCATATTTAGTTTATTGTTTTAACTTCTATGCATGTTATGTACTACATATGGAAAGTGACGCTGAATAATAAATACTTTAATTAGCGAGTTAAAAGCAGACAGTAAAACATCCATTAAACATTTCCATGTCATGATTGAAAATAAATTATTTTAATAAAATTGATATACTGAAAGGAAAAAAAACGCGGGGTAATTTTTTGGAGTGAAATAATTTTATTTCTCTACATGTATTTTCTAGTAATCTTATCTCATTTTGAAATCATCTTTAATGAAAATGTTACAAAAGTTCTATTTGATTTTGTCCTTTAACTCATGGGTTATTGAAACTCGTGTGATGATACCCCCCGGTAGTGAAAATTGAAATTTTCATAATCTTCAATGTCTGCTTCGTGCATCTGTCACAGCCTTGATTCTTCATTACATGGAGTCCAACTGTAATGTGTGTTTATCCTTTAAACAGTTATATTATTCTCAACATTCAACAAGGCGGCCTTTAATTAAAAGAGATCAGCTACGGCATTTCGAATCTTATCATCTAATCAGCCCCACAGATGTTCAATGAAAGCAAAATGATCTTGAAGGGGACCAGAGTCGAGTTAATTAAAGTGATTGTTTGCGATAATGTCTTGTCTTTATGGGGCCGGGGGTAAACGACCCGACAAAACTAGGCAAACGACACTCACATGCATCAGTGAAAAAAAAAAACTGACTTTAAGTAGACCAGCTCAAAAATCCCAATCATGCTATTGGTTTCTATCAGTTTAAGGATGTAATGATTTTGATAGCCTGCTGTATGAATAGCAGTCCTTAGACAGTGATTTAACAGGTGGAAGGATAAATAACCGATCTTGACGTGGCTCTATTAACGTCAACGTCATCATAACGGCTGATTGGAAACCATAAGAGATTCTTTTTGACGACGGGTAAGACGTTCAATGGGAGAAAAATTTACAAGCAGCTGCACACCAAAACCGTTCTGGCCTTTGTCCTTACTAAGGCAATGTAGAAGCTAGATCCCATAGAATTTCGGTCAATTGTAACAAGATTGCAAAAATTCGTACCTTTTAAATATTGAAATAATGTGCAAACATAAATTGCATTAAATAGTATAAAAAATCGTTGCCACTTTTTTGTGGTAAAATTGCAAAAGTGTTTGTCATTGTCGCTTCATTCCCTCTTGGCGAATCATGCATTTCACGGTTTAGTAATTACTAATACTGATATTAGTGCAAAGTAACTAAGATTCTTGTCTGACCAGTTTTGTAATTTTCAGTCATGCGATCAACAAAATGTCGAAGATAATATGTAACCCTAAGTTTCTTTTTCCTTTCAGTATATTTTGATTTCATGAATTTTATCTTGCATACGGAGTATATATATATCTCAGTTGATTCGATACGCAAGAGCTTGTTCTACGTATGAACAATTTCTAAGTTAATGAAACAAGAATATCAGCAGTTTCATTTAATGTCATCATTTCGTAAGTTCTATGGTCTAAACAATGACCTTGTCAGCAAATACAATTTATCATTGAGTCTAATGCTGACTGACGTTTTTCATACCAATTATTAGTCTATTATTTATACACTGAATTGGCGATGAATTTTTTCCGTTATTTTACGATCATGACAATGAGCACACCGCTGGTGTGACCGGTCGGCAGGGGATGCTCACTCTTCCATGGCACCTGATCCCATCTCTGATGTTTCAGAGGTCCAAGTTTACTCTGCTCTTATTTTGTTTTGTTTTATGGACTTTGAGATTGTTCGTTATCTCTCTATCCTTATCTTAAAATCATTACCATAGTCAATAAATATTTCAGGAATTATTTAGCAGACCATCACCCCAAAATTCTTCCATTTATACATGTTCCCCTGGTGTTGAGTGTCACATGTTGCTTTACATGTATAGTGGAGATAACGAGTCGTGGTAAGTCAGTTTTTATCAAAGAGTCACGAATATAGATGATTGATTGTATATTGTTTAACGTCCCTCTCGAGAACTTTTTACTCATATGGAGACGTCACCATATGCCGGAGAAGAGCTTCAAATTTTAACCTTTACCCGGCACTCAGGGTCATTGAGTAGTGAAGGATCTTTATCGTACCAACCCCTGTCACTGACACGGGGCCTCGGTTTTTAAGGATGAGTCCAGCAACTTTCACTTCACGTGCCGAGTGCATGGCGAAGGAACAGTTTCTACCCATTTTTGGGAGTTGAACAACGTTCAATCTCCCATGGTCATCACGTATTTAAAATGCGCAGTAATTTGTGTTGATTATATAGAGCCGAAAGCGAGGTTACTGTGTCGACCAATTTACTCCGATGATATTCAACAGAAAACATGCATAAACATCTGCCACAAATAGTTCATGTCATTTTCTCCTGAATTGATCTAATTCTTATAATTTGAAATGTAAGTAATCGTAATGATAGAGTAATTTTATTTTGAACATTAAATTTCGTTCAAAGTAAAACTAAATTATAAAGAACATCAAAAGTTTTTCGTAATGGAACTGATTTTTAGTGTAGCGTCATCTATAAACACTGAAAGAGATACGAATGACAACTCTACATACTGACGGCAAGGGGTAAATCTAGTCTTCTCGACGCCCGACTCCCGATGGTCCCGGATTTTGGATTTTTAGCAATTTCTTTTTTACCGGTGCACAGAATTTATTAACAATTTTCATGAACATTTTCTTGGTTTAAATGAATTCATTAAAGCATAAAAACTTTAGGAAACATGCGTATTTATTACGAAATCAGCAGTATCACCTGCAAAAAACCGGTAAATCTAGTACTCTGTTATAAATGTAAAAACCAAAAATGGACACCGATGTTTTCGTAGAATCGCGATTAAAAGCAACAAAATGAATTATATTTTTTTTAATAAAAGGAAAACGTTATTTACGTACCAGATAATTTGAACGCACACAAACTCTCACGTATACCACTGTTTTCATGTTTCACAATATAAAAAAAATTGAGTTCTGACGTACTCCATGTATAATGCTCGTGTAATTAAAATACATTAATATTAACAGAGAAGTTTTATATAACAAATCTGCTCTTAAAAGGATGCTGTGTGAAAATCCACATTTTATCAACATTGATATCATTCCTGTGAAACTGAAATTTTCATTACACATTGGTAAAGGTGCCAAGGAAAAATAAATTACAAATTTGTAGATGAACTAGAGGTACTGTGAGCAGTGAATAATATACTCAACAAAAAAAGAAACGCATATTGCTTTACTCGTCAAAGAAATTTTTCAAATGTACATGGAACAACTATCTTTTATATCATTGGATACCTGTGACCTATTTAAAGGAAAACATGGGGTTTTAAAACCCAAGTATTGAATTATCTCCCTTGATTAAGCATGTTTGTGAAAGTAGTGTTTTTCTTGATATCTTCTGAATCGGACGTCTATTTTCGTTGATATTTTGGATTTAGAGAAACTTTTAACACTCCTATTAAACCCATATTCAAGATTTGATTGCAGTGTTGATGCTGCAATGCCACGCCGAAACAAAGATGAACACAACCAGACTAACGATGATACTAAACGGAGCTACGCAACAGGAAGTTGCAACTGCATTTGGAATACATCAATGGGCTTTGCAGGCGTTAAACTATCGTCGGAAGACCAAGAATTAGCCGTCCGCAGGTAACCACACCCAGGCAGGACCGTCTGACCCCCCCCCCCCCTTCAGCACCTCACGCGATTCAGAACTTGCTGTAAAAACTGCTTCTACAATTGCTGGATGAAAAAATCAGCATAAAAGTGCATAAATTGTTCGCAAGAGACTGATGAGCTGGTATTCGTGCACGACATCCGTACATTGGAAATCCACTAGCGCTTAGACGTCGCAAAGGACATATGGATTGGTTTAGACGGTGTGCCCCAAGAATCTGGAGGCTTCAACGATGACATAAACTTCACTTTTCTACTCGCAACACATGATATGTTTCAATTTCATCAAAACCCTCTAAAATTACTTTTAAAAAATAAGGATTTAACTGAAAACTTAGATTATCATGTTTAATCTGAATATGCGTTTCTTTTTTTGTTGAGTATATAAATGTTCAACCGCCTCTAATATGAATATAATAGCAATGTCCATGTTTTGTAATGGGAAACCCAAAATATGTATAGGATAAAAAAGTAACAGAAGGTGCACAACGGTAATATGTAATAAAGATTCTCTAAATAATTTCATTCAGTGGTGTAAGAGGAGTTGCGGATAAGAAATGGGTATACCTAAAGCGTATCCAACAGATGGACGGACATCCCGATGAATAAATACCCTCCCGCTTTTCAAGCAGGGGGTATAAAAAGGACTAATGTAGTCAGGCAAGCATTATGGCTCATGCAATTTTTTTGCTATTCAATGTCTTTGAATGTCTTTCTCAAAATTGTCACAATATAAAAAATCTGAAACAGTTGTTTGTATTTGAAATAATAATATTGTTCACTCACTTAAGCTCCAGATTTTTTTGTACACCATGTTCAACTCCCATAAGTACTTTCAGTACTTTGATTTATTGACTTAGGTCAGTCGCGGCCGAGATAAGAACACACGACCTCCTGATCACGGAGCTACCGTAAACGGTGTCACGAATATAGAACTTTTTATCAATGAAAACAATCAAAACAAGAACTACATGTAATAATTGTTTAAACGCGTCAAGATTGCATTAGGTTCCTGAAATACGAGTAGATAGTTACAGCTATCTTCTGCATGATAATACTAAAATTCTGTTTATACATATTTTCACATTCACTTATTTTTTTGCCATGTATACCATTTTATTTGATATAGAATTTCACACACAGGTGTAGTATTTTTCTTATTTTATTTTTAGGACTCATTTGATACCCTGAAAACAAAAACAGAACTTATGTTGTACGTGTAGATATATATTTTTATTTGTTGTTTTACTACCAGTCCAAGTGTCTCCGTCCTGCCTACCGCTGACATCACAGTACATATCTTTAACAACTATAACGGCGACAGGTGCTCAGTTGACATCCTTATCAAACCTTTTAGTAGTCATCCGGGACAACTGGTAAACCTGTGTGTAAAAGCATCATCACATGACTCTAAGTAAGGAACATCTGAATATATTTGCTATAATGGGTTAAATTCATTATTTACTTTTCATATAACATATAATTGGAAAGCATTGTTAAGTCAAATATATGATTAATATAAAGAGTGATAGATACTGTTAAAAAACTAAAAACAATTTTAATAGTATCAAAACCAATTTTCTCCAAACAGACGTTTACATAAATATTGCAATTTTACATATTAATGCAGAAGATACTTTTATTTCTATATTTATTTACTTTGAACTTTTTTAGGATATTTATATATTAAGCACATCTCATTATGTTTTGATTTCAATTAGACTATCGGAGATGAGATGTTATGCTGTTGAGTACGAAGAACACAGTAAGTTGGAGGTTCAAGGTTTAAGCGAAACAGTTATAATAATCACATGTGCAATAATATTAAAAAGTTTTTTTTTAATTTGTGTTTTAATTTAACAATATATTTTTTTCAAAAGGTTTAAATGGTTTCAAGGTCACTCTCTTCCTTGTAATGTGTGTGAAATAAAAAAATAAATTGATCTATAGTTTGTTTCATCTTTTCAACAATTGTATATTCTTTTGTTACAAAAAAGACGCTGTTCAGATCCAGTCTTACAGATTATCTTCCCACAGGACCTCTTTAATCGTTATATAGTCAGGGTTCTCCATGAGCAGTTTTACTGTGTTGCTCCCGACACAGTAAAATTTTCTCCGACACAGTAACGGTTCAAATTTTATGCGTGCGACACAGTAAAAATTTTGCCGACTACAGGAAGATCTGTGAAAATCAGAAAACCCAAACATATAAATTCTCTCTAATGGACACTTTAATCAAACAATTCTACTGTCTTTCAATTCTAACGGATAGAGCACTTAATTAGGGCTTTCAATTAAACCAATTATCTTATCATAATTAAAACAAAAACAAATAATTTGTTATCAATAATAACGGTTAATTGGTAGTGCATTAAAAATACATATTCAATTTTTAAAAAATATTTAAATTTTATTTTATAGAGCCAGAATTTATGTTTTGAACAATTGATGTAAATATATTTGGTTTAAATTAATTTTAAGGTTAAAAATAATAGAAGTTTTTTTCTTCCTTGTAATTTGATGTGATAAATATAAAATTTACTTTAAATTGATCTATAACCAGAATTTCCATGCTTTTAGAACATGCGTTTTTGCTTTTATCAATATATACGACCATAACATTTGTGTAACGAATTAGTGATTTCAAAAAAAAGTGTGTGCATGTATTCTTTTGTAATTATAATGAATAATGATTCATCTTCCGCGAAAATACCGAAATTTTAATCGTTACTCTGCAACACAGTAACATTTCAAATTTACTACAGTATATATTTTTTGACATATATTTTTATTTTTCGAACCTCCAGGGTCACTCCAAGAATCTTTGAATTTCCCAGAAACAACAACAGCAATGAGACAACGGACAATAAACACAGACTTGGGAAATGTGTTTGGGTGATTTTGCACGCATTAAACATGTTAAAAGAAATCAGATAAAGAATCGTTTATAAATGAGATTTGTTCTATGTTTTTACTTTTCTTGTAATAATCAAGAATCATAATAAAATGAGATAATCATATCTCATAAGCATATTAACTTTATGTTTATTATTCTTCTCACTTGGGTATTACTTTTGCCATTACGTAAACTTCTTGAGTTAGCTGTCGTTCTTCCCAAACATTTTTGTTCATTGGCCGTCTTCTTGTAACTGGATGCTGAATAGTTTAAAATAAAAAAAGCATGTACCTGACAACTGGTAACTAGGCATAACTATCAATCATTTTAAGGAAATATAGGCATCACATCGGGTAAAGAAAGAAAGATTTTTCCCGGCATTTTAGTACTGTACTTATGATTAACAGCTTCAAAACCTTGAAAACCCAAAATATTGTTAAAATTTTATTTAAAATGCAACATTTTGAACTCTGTTAAGAGGGCTAAAAAGCAACTTCCGGTAGTGGAAAGAAATTCTTTCAACCGTTAAATAATTGATTTGGTAAAGTAAAAGATGTCCTAACTTTTTTGGTACATAGTTTAACCTGTATATAATTTTCACCCTAAGTTTAGGGTGTTGCCTTTGTATTGACGGTGAGTATATATATCTAGTCGGATTTTTTTCAGATAATTATGATTCTACCTTGGCAAACATATAATTTCCCCAAACATGCCTTTGATTTATATGTTAAGGAAACTCAAAGCAAAGTCACTATAGTTTTACGATTTTAAACAGAATGATTCTAGCTATTAGCATTTCCTAAATTATATTTCTGTTGTATAAAAAAAAATGATGAGTCATATTGAAGAATGAAGATAACCAAAAATTAACATCCAAAGCCTATTTAATCAGTTAATCTTGCAAGCAGAACATCTTAGGTAGTAATTTTAAATAAAAGAAGAAATGAAATTACAGTTTGAGTTACGACCTAACTGCATAGTTCCTTGTTTCCGAACAGGATATACCTAAAAACAGCACCAATCGTATTGTTCAATTTTCTTATAGTTACTTAATTCCATTGTTGGACTTCCTTCTATCATTCTCTTTTTTCATAAAGATGAAGTCCGTAGGCGTGTGACCATTTGTAATTTTGGTTATACAAAAGTGACTGGTGTGGAAAGAATATGCAATGGAGTTCATGCAAAAAGACATGTTGTGGAAACTGTGTGCAGAGTTTTCTTGCCATCGTTACTGAATTAGCTCCCCATATATTTGGATTATAGGATTTATAACTATCGATCCAAATGTTAACAAATGTTGCATTTTTTCCTGCAATTATTAATGCACTACCCGTTGATCCATCCTGTGCGTTCCCCATGGTGCATTCATTGCTTCTGAATTTGTTTAACGATCTGAGGACGTATTGGTCTGTATCAAGGTATACACCGCCGTATTCTAGAAAAAGCAAACAGAAAGTTAATTTCTAAACGTTTAATACTGTAAATCAACTTTTTCGCAAGGTTCGCGAGAGCTACATCAATGCGAATTTTCTCACCGTTAACCGGTCCTTAAAGTCTCCGTCTCAATTAACAACAGTTAGGCTTTTCAACTAATTTTTCAAGTTACACATTCGGTAAAAACAATTCATAGATAGACGTATAGGTACATGAAATTATCAAAACGTTAATAACTTTTGAATACCTTTAGTTAAATCATTATAAAATCAAATTATTTATAATTGACTTGTATGATGTTGTGTTTTAAGGACAGGTAACTCGGGTATAAAAAATGACCAACTAAGTGCCAATTTATGAGTTATCGTTTATAGGAATGGCATATAGGCTGCTTCAGCATTGGTATTGTTATTGTACACGAAAGTGTTGACCAAAAGAAGGAGAATGTCTTACTTTATCTGAAATAAAAAGGTCAAATGAATGGGGAACAGACTCTATTCAATATTTTTAACTCTCTTTGACGATTGTTATGAAGAAAATATATATAAGGTGATGTTTTTTGCGTGTGCACTTTTGTGCTTCCTATATAACTATATATATTTTTACAAATAAATGCAACAATTAATCATCTTATTTGTGCTACTTAACACGAAGAAGAACGACCGAATATAAAAATTTAATTAGGTTAGAATTAAAACGGAGGAAAGATTTCACTTTTTTTGTTTTAATTAAAAATTTTACTTATATGTAATTAAACGGTGTCCGCAACTATATTGTAAACTAGTTTAACATTAGTGCTAAACTTTAAAACCATTTGATTCTACTGGCAGCAACGAAACACTTGGAAAATTCTACGAACTGACTTGTGTATAAACAGTTAGATACCTCCGACCTGCTCTAAACAAACCAGCAATGAGTTATCGTTCATAAGAGCGAACCCTAGCGGTAGTTGAAAGGCCTGCAACAGTTCAAAATAGGCTTGTTCGCTAAAATTAATCGCCGCGAACTACCTCCCCACCTTGGTAAATTGCGATATAAAGTCGTCGTGAATAAAAGTTGTTTTTCAGTGTTTCAATACATATATTTTATACATTTTTACGTGAATAAATTCTAAAGAAAATAATAGGAAAAAAGGGTTGGTACCTTTCAATATTTTAAGTCTCAAGATGTCAGACTTTTGTTGCACCCAATGAATTTTCTTTCCTGCAATTTGGAATGGTGGTATAACTTTTACAAACACGATGTTTTAAATAATTTTTTTAAGTACATCCCACCATTTTCCAAAAGGTAAAACGTCATAATAAAGAAATAATAGACAAGGATTTTGGTTTTTGTGCGTGCTATAAAAGCTCACAAAATAAATAAACTCAAACTCGTGCTTTCCAAGCCATATGTAATGAACAATGTTTGGGACAGTGAAATTGTCTGTGCAGAATCTGCTGATAAGTCTTTTCAGACATTTATCTGGAAACTTAAATACAGGAATATCTTTTAAATGATTCTTGAAATCGAGATGCACATCATTGTCGGAGCATTTAGGAATCAGCTGTTTTTCTTCTTCTTTTGACTTCGAGAAAATAATTTCATTCAAATCTACGCAAGGAACGGTAGAACGAAATTGCCAGTCCGATCCCCCAATTGGTGTAAAATCTGAAAAAAATGATGACATCTCATAGTCAACATAAAAATAATGAGTTCACCCTTTCCCTAGTGTCTTTCTAATAGTTATTCATTATATTCTTTTTCATCAACAGTATTATCAATATACATAATTACATGGATTTTTATTATTATTTTTTTGCTTTGTTTTGCAATTATGGTGAATGCTATTTAAAATCTACCTTACTAAAACAATTTTATCTACTGATATTACTTTAAAATCCATTGTCTAAAGTACACGTACATGTATACTTACTCGCAAATGTATACTTACTTAAAAATACATCGTTATTTTTCTTCCTGTGCTGAAGATAAAACTTTTTAGTTTCAACATCACAGGAATCTTCTTTGTATTTAACTGACGGTTTATTGGTAATATTGACTGCTTTTACTCTCAACGTTGTTTCGTTTTTGAAAAACTGTTGATTTTTCAGAGGGTACTGTTTATTAATATGTAGCATAGGGTTGCGAACGATATTTCTTTCAAATTTCTTTTCCATGTAGGTAATGATTAAAAGAAAAGTAAATC